TATGCAACTGCTGGTTCTGCTGGGGAAAAGAATTGGGATTTCTGACTGCATCAATAGCCACATATTGGTTTTGTAACAGAAAATAATGGATACAGCGCCTAGCTTGGAATTGAGACTGGATTTGCATGCTTAATAATAGGAATCAACTGGAAACATACCAATACAAAATTATTTGCAATATGATACAAGTGTAAAAGATACAATACCCCATTTCTTATGTGACCAAATGTAATTCAGAATCAATTTAGTATTCATTTAAGCATTTAGCTATTTTTACTCATACAGGTCATTAAATATTGACTAGAAGTTTTACTCTGTGGAGTATGCTGATGAAGCCTTCTGGAGAGCCCTAATTACATTGTTGTAAACCTCAGGTGCACAGAAGGCTTACTGTGGCTGGCAAGCCACCAGGGAGAGAGTGGCCAAGCTACAGCTCACACATCTGCCTCTGATACATGTGTTGTAAATTTAGATGTTGTATTTATATAGTGTAGGATTGAACTGATGTTACTGCTGCTAAGATGTGTGTCTAAAACTGTGACTGACCTGTGGAGTAGAAAAATATGAAGAAGAGATTGTTAACAAAATGGGTAAGGTAGAGGGATATTCTGAAAGGTTAGGATGTGGTTTTCATTACTAATTGTAATCAGTTTGCAGCCTTACATTACACATTATCCAGCTGTCTCTGTTAGATGACTTTCATTCCTCCTTTCTATAACATCTTATTTGAAAAAAAATTTTTTTGAAGAAAATAGAACTGCTTTTTTAAAATTCAGTAAGATTGGGTACGTAATTTTTTTGTGGATTATCTTTGGTAATTTTTTTTTAGTTTTTTTTCTTTAATAGAGAATATGATAAAAATTGACTTTAAAATTAACAAAGATTTTGTATTAGTGTAGAAAATGGCAGTAATTGTGATGCAATAGTCAAGGGCCAACACTACCCCCACTGACTGTCTTCATACTCTCGCCACTTTAATGGCAGATCCTTAACAAGGTGGGCCTACATATTCTCATTTTCAGTTTTATGTATCAATGTAGAAAAGATAATGACAAAATGAAAAGGAAATGAAAGAAAGGAAAGGTCACGTGAAGAAGAAATGAAAAATGAAATTCTTGTACTTAGTGGCATACCTTGTATAAAGTGATCATGGTTTTTATAAAAATTCTGTCCTTAATTGACACTTCTACAGGGATCATATTATTATAATGGAGAGTAAAAGTTTTGAATCCTTGTAGCAGTTCAGTTTTACAATGATTTGCTGCTGGTATTTACCAGTATTAATCAAGTAACAATACCAATAACAATACCAACATTCCTGTGAGATGAAATATGAAAAGCAACCAGAGAAAGATACGGAAAACACTAGGGTTTAAAATCAGAATGTTTAATAAGAAAAATGTTTGGTATTGAAACCATTGCCATGATATGTTGGAACGTCAACCACATTTCTACAGTCACAAGAGATGGTAATTATTTATGAACCAGATTAATTTCTAAGGTATGGGGGTATTAAAAAGGGGAGGGTTTTGTCTGTGACCTAAGCTTAAAGTACATTTAACTAGATATTAAAATTAATATTATTATTTATTTATTTATTTTGGGGCACAGCTATATACATATTAATGTCTGTTTCATTAGCTTTTTGTCTAATTACAAACATAATCATGTTTTCAAATAGTTGAGGGATGTAAATTTTTTATATTCGGAATTGAAAGAAACGACATTTTTTATGCCTTGAAACCATTGCCTTACTAGTATTTATTTTGCCTTTCCAAAATACTGAAAATTGTTGAAATATGATATGTGTATGATATTTTGAGTCAATCTTTCAAATTGTGAATGTGATTGCCTTCAGATGTTAATTATGTCCAAAGCAAAACACAAATGCTAGTGTTTATGAAGTATCAATTATGAAGCACAGTTATGCTTACCTGGGGTAGCGCTAGCAAATTTTTTTTCGCTTAGCCAAATCACCATTTGTCAATTTGTTATCCAAATGGTTATAATTTGAATAAAAAAAGTAAAATCAAGACCTTTTCATTTAGTCAATTTAAGTCAGTTTTAGCATTTGGCTTATTTGGCAAGTGTTAGCGCTACCCCAGCTGACAGAACTAACAGGGTTTTAGGGATAATGACCTGTCTAACCTGTGTGGACTGGGGAAACTGTGCCAACTGATTGTCCTAGACAGCATTTCAGGAAATATGGAGCTAGCTAAGGGACCATTTCCAGCCCCTATTGTACTAACTTTAGATCGATCTATCTCCAAGGGGATTCTCACTAAATTGCTATCAACTTGAGTAGCTTAGATGTCTGCCATGCCTACTGAAGGGTAAATTAATTATTGTTTAGCAGCTTCAGTAGGCGTGACAGACATTTAAGCCGCTTAAGCTGAAAGCAGTTTAATGAGAAAAACCCCTTGGAGATGGACTGATCCTGTTAGATGGATCTAGGCATGGGAACCCAGTCATAGGGATAATGACCTGGCTAACCTTTGTGGACTGGGAAACTGTGCCAGCTGATTGTCTTAGATGTCATTTTCAGGAAATGTAGAGCAAGCTAGGTATCAGGAAGCTGACTGTATTCATAGATGTACCATCTTCCATTTCATCTGAGGCCATCTCTGCTGCATTCCCTGAAAAAAGAAAGAAAGAACAAAGTCATGTTTATTGTCTAAAAACTAGGCTAGCTTAATTCTAATGGAAGAGGAACTTTTGAGAATGTTGACTTCTGGACCATTATTAGATTACAGTAATCTTGTGACCAGTAGTAAACGGAGCTGAAAGATATCCTCCAAGTCCAATACAGGTCAATTATTTAGATGAAGTGTGTAACCAAGCAACATCAGAAATATTTAGTTGGGACAGAGAAGAAGTAAAAAATCACATGTATAACCCTTGAGATGCCTTAGAATGCCAGAAATAGAAATTGTATTTTGAAAAGTTATGTCATGATTGTGTTTTTTGGAAGCCTGTGTTAGTGCGTATGTTAGCTGGGAAAATAATGACCAGTGACTCCCTGAAAGTATTGCTTACTAATACTAGTACGTCAGACAAAAACCTTTAACTGTATGTGAGATAAGACTTAAATAAGTCAGTCCTTTGCATAAAAAAACACTTAATAGACTTTCACTAACTAGAAATTTTCATTTTAGTGAGTGCTTGGAGTAACTCTGTGGTTTTTGAGCTGGTCAAAAGAAATCACTTCAGTTCACATTTTGAAAGTATAGTGGACATTAAGGGCTCATTCTGAATTAAATGATGGTTCTACATAGATCCAGCTCTGCTGGGACTCCCCCTGAATACAATCAGATTAACAGTGGATCCAGCTCTGCTGGGACTCCCCCTGAACACAATCAAATTAACAGTGGATCCAGCTCTGCTGGGACTCCCCCTGAATACAATCCGATTAGCAGTGGATCCAGCTCTGCTGGGACTCCCCCTGAATACAATCCGATTAGCAGTGGATCCAGCTCTGCTGGGACTCCCCCTGAATACAATCAGGTTAACAGTGGATCCAGCTCTGCTGGGACTCCCCCTGAATACAATCAGGTTAACAGTGGATCCAGCTCTGCTGGGACTCCCCCTGAATACAATCAGGTTAACAGTGGATCCAGCTCTGCTGGGACTCCCCCTGAATACAATCAGGTTAACAGTGGATCCAGCTCTGCTGGGACTCCCCCTGAACACAATCAGATTAACAGTAGATCTAGCTCTGTTACTACTCTGCCTGAATACAATCAGATTAACAGATTAACGTGCTCCTCCTGGCATTGAGCTGAATGCGGCAAAGCTGGTGATTATATGAGTATGTCAGAAACAACAGGAGATGTTTTAAACTGACTGCATTTAGTGATAGTCCCCATGTAGTCAGATCAAGCAATATATAGAACGTTAGTTGCATTGGGAATTAGCTCTAGGAAGCTTTCTGTGTAGTTAACAATGTTCAGTAATTAGTGCAGGCATGTCTTCAGCCTGATGACCATGACCAGGATAACACCACAGGCAGGATACTGAAACCTACTCTTCTAGTTTCACTCTATGAACCTTTTACCACTAGATGTTTATTGACAAATTGTAATGTAAAAAGGGATTTCTGTTGTAATCTCACTCAGTCACCTTTCTGTTTTTACACAATAAAACCCTGGTTTCTGTTGGGTGTCCAACATTAGTTCCAGGAAAATGAACTTCCAAGAAATAGCAGAAAGTGAACATCACTTATAAATTTTGCTCTTGGAAGCAGTATTATTGTATTAACTTCTGGAGGCAAATGATCATTTAAAAAGGTGGGATTAATCAGTTTAAGGGTTTTTAAGAGTGGGAGGATGTATATTATCCCCAAAGGTGTTGTGTTTTACTGTAATGGAGTCTAGTGACGTGTCCTCTGTTAAAGAGTACCCAGCCCTTAACAGGAAAATCTCTCAAGTTGTGCCGCAGGGGATGTGTGCTTAAAAGGTAAATGACTAACAACTAAGAAACATTTCATAGCACACATGTATACCAGCAGCTTGGAGAGGCATGTCATTAAAAATGGAGCTGATTTTAATCATGACATTTGGTAGCTGTTCGTATAGCTAGCTTGCTATACAGACACCAAGTCGTGATGTTTAAACTGACTTTTAACCCCCCCTCCCCCCTCCCAGAACACTTTAGTTCATTGCCAAAGAATTTCCTTATAATGTTTGAACACCTGCTTGTCTTGAAGATATTGCACTGTCATGCCACCTTTTGGCAACAAAAAATGCAACAAGAGCTAGGGTATATTCCACATCTTCAAACTGAATCAATAAAATCTCTTAAGCGGTGTTTTTGTGCCAAATTCTTTCTCCCTATAACAGAATTGTGAATTGATGTTCTTTTGTTGAAGTGAACTTCAGTGTATTCCCTAACCTTAGCAAAGTAGCAGACTAAGATAACGGCTGTGGCTTTATTGACGTCAGAGAGAGGCTGGGGAATCCAGGTTGTATGTGAAGAGTGTGAGCCTGCAGGAATAAACTGACTGCTGAGCTGGTCATCATCAACTGTCTATACAAACCCAAAGTATTGAATGTCTCCACTTGTTTACAATATACCAATAAGGGTCTAAGGTTTACTGAAGCCGTAGTTTGTTTTGTTGGGAAAACCAGTTTAATTAACTCCACTGTGGGAAGACCTGGGAGTGAAAAATAACTGCTTTACAATATAAATCCAGTGTGGTATGAGAGAGGTAGAAACCACAGGTTGGCTTTGTGGTATTCACATTTTTGTTGTCAAACACAGGATGGAGACAGTAGTTTACCTGCAAGGCATATAGGCTGCAGTTTCAATGCCAGTGTGATTCTTAATTCTCTGAGGTCATTTCAGTGTTTGAAGTCAATCATAATTGCCATAGCATGATCGATATGGGGTTACTCAAGAAAACACTAACAGTAGAGGCAGGAGGCAAACTGCTTATTCATCCTAATGAAAACTTGTGAGCTGGGATGGGCTTTGCTGTCTTCAGATGTGCCCATATTTGTCTCAGGATGTTTTCTCTCTAAAGATTGACACCTTATTTCCAATGCTCAGCAGTGAGCTGTTGTGTGGTGGAAGTGCGGAAGGATCAATTTAATTAGCCTGTGGACTCTGTGAAAATATTCTGAGTGTAATTTATTCATTACACCACAGTCAGAGAGAGAAGCCAGTACAGCATTGACCAGTTTGGGGGAAATCTTCCTCTCTATGTGATAGCATGGGACGTATCAAGAAAAGTATCTCAGATTTAGGAGACAGTTTTAGTTGGGTGAGTAGAGGTTACTTTGTACATTCACAGTGCTCTGGTATCAATGTGGTGGCAATGAAATCTGAGAAGACTGGAGAACTACTTTAGTGGAATTTGTCCAACTGATCATTGTGAAGGAAGGAAATATGGCACTGTGACTGTGACATTTATTGCAAATACGATGTATCTTTTAGTTGGGGCAGCCAGGATCCAAGCAGTTTTCCTGTGATGTGGTTGATTTTAAACTTAATGCCTGAATTTGTAATTATATATTAAAAGTTGTATTGGGATCTGTTTCCCTAAGAAATAATACAAATGTGAAATTTAGCCAGATTTGCAGATCAGTTGGAATGTGGAAGTAATATTTCAGAAAACCCTATTTCCAAGTGTCTGCTTACTTTAGCCAAAGCCTATCACTGGTTCACTGCTGTATTCATAGCAACATAAATTTCTACAAATTTATAAGTGATGCACCACATCTGTCAGTTTTGTAGTCAAACACAGATATTGATTTTACATTTACATTGACTGAGGCAAAGTGTATTAGCGTATTCCTATACATACTCCGTATAGCATTTTTGTTGGTAATGTCAATCTTACACAAAGACCCACAGTGCTCAGCAAAAGCTTTTTTTCCATGCAATCCAGGCATCAAGTGATAGCTGCTACAAATTTGATATCATTAGGCAGGGCCTGCTCCGGTTTCCTTTCCCTGGAGACTGGAGGAGGAAAAAATGCTGCAATTCCAAGGACAGATCCTGAGTCACGCCTGCTCTGAGTGGATCTATATGCTGAATAATAAATCTGTCATAATCCATGTTTATCACAGGTTGAGATAAAGTCTTTTTATTATGCATGAGCCAGAGTAGACAGGCAGTATGAGTGTGTGAGGATAGAGAAGAAGGATCTCACTGAACTGTGCCATACAAGATCCACCAAGCTGGCACACAAGTAAGGGCCGTAGATCAGCTGCACACTGCCTGATTGGCCGCCTTACTCTAGAGGATAATTCACATAGATTACCTTCCACTAATCTGCTAAAAGAGCTTTGCATTCTAGACATTTAAGCTGAATGTTGGATGTCACAGGGGCTGGAAGACTGCAGTGATAGGCAGGGCAGCCTAGAATACTGATCAAGGGGGACGAGGCCGCGTGCTGCAGGGAAAACACAGACACACATGCAGATGGTGACCTCGGCAAAGTCTTCCTCAAAAGCGAGGCTGTTTGATAGTGGATCTTCCTATTCATTGGTGAGATCAAAGTGGGCTTTGTGAGAGAACATGACAGACAGCCATGTATCAGGAGATGTTTGTTACTATGGTAATGGTTAGGTGACTGGTGAGGTCATGAGAGAATGGAGGCTGCCTATGAATGGGAGGTCTGCACTGATGCTTGGTTCTCTAAGGCTGGCTAGGCACAGGGTTGGGGGTGTTCACTCACCTGTGGGTACAGGGCTGGGATATGTTAACACACCTGTGGGTACAGGGCTAGGAGTTGTTACACACCTGTGGGTACAGGGCTGGGAGGTGTTAACACACCTGTGGGTACAGGGCTGGGATATGTTAACACACCTGTGGGCACAGGGCTGGGATATGTTAACACACCTGTGGGTACAGGGCTGGTAGATGTTAACACACCTGTGGGTACAGGGCTGGTAGATGTTAACACACCTGTGGGTACAGGGCTGGTAGATGTTAACACACCTGTGGGTACAGGGCTAGGAGTTGTTACACACCTGTGGGTACAGGGCTGGGAGGTGTTAACACACCTGTGGGTACAGAGCTGGGAGGTGTTAACGCACCTGTGGGTACAGGGCTGGGAGGTGTTAACACACCTGTGGGTACAGGGCTGGGAGGTGTTAACACACCTGTGGGTACAGAGCTTGGGGGGGGGGAGGCTAACACACCTGTGGGTACAGGACTGGGGGGGGTGTTCACATACCTGTGGGTACAGGACTGGGGGTGTTCACACATCTGTGTTTGGCTTCATATTAGTAGACAATATAAAATGAATATACAGTGTTTTGTAGATCTCTCAGATCAAAATGAACAAGCCTATCTTTCCTCTTGTCTGATCTGTTTACACTACAGTATGAGAGAAGGATCTTATTGATTTCTGCGCAAGGCACTACTGCTTTGAGACCACATAGAATGACAAACCGCCAGTTACACAAGATGCACAGGTCAAACATTTAACACTAGCAGCCTGCACNTGAATATAAAATGAAGATACAGTGTTTTGTAGATCTCTCAGATCAAAATGAACAAGCCTATCTTTCCTCTTGTCTGATCTGTTTACACTACAGTATGAGAGAAGGATCTTATTGATTTCTGCGCAAGCCACTACTGCTTTGAGACCACATAGAATGACAAACCGCCAGTTACACAAGATGCACAGGTCAAACATTTAACACTAGCAGCCTGCACTCAAGGTTGAACTGGAAGATGAATAATTTAGATGAACTGATGTAGAAGTTATGCAGCATGAAGAGTGCACTTCCTTCTACAAATGATGAGATGTATTAAGAAAGGCTGGCAGTTTATATTAATGTTTGTATATCAGTGATATGATCTTTTTCTTATATGATGACTTTGGCCAATAGTTTCCCTCCCCTTCTTGCTTGGTTCATGATTTTCTTCAGATGTATAATCTTTTGTGAGGCTTCTGTTCATTATATTGAAATGAAAAAAAAAAAAAAAATAATAGGTTCATTTAAAAACTTGTTGGACCATAAAAGTAAACAGATTGCTATGAATGCATCCTTGCTGTTACAATTTCCACGTTCTCTCTCTCTCTCTCTCTCTCTCTCTCTCTCTCTCTCTCTCTCTCTCTCTCATATATAGTAATGGAATTGGTTTAAAAGAAAAATTTAATCTGCCCAGTTAACTAGGGAAATAATGATATCTGATAGCAGAATCTCTAAAACATTGTGATCTAATAATTTTGTTCCTCTTAGGCAGAAAGGTATCTGCTTTGACCAAAACTTGGTAAATCGAGACAATATACATGTATATAAATGATTTCTCATAGAATTGAATTTTTTTTACTTAGAATATACTATTTTCTAACCTTCCTTGTCCTGATGGTTTGGATGTTTAAGTCAACCAGGTGTGATTTTTGTAGTTATTTAATTCCTCAAGCCAGGAAATTGAACTGTATTGGCTCTATTGATAAAATAGAGAGGGGTTATTATTGCTTTAGGATTCCAAATGTCTCTATTGTGATTGGAGTTAATTTTAAAAAATGAACTTGGAACATATGTGGGCTTGCCATTTCACATTTAATATGGCTGTATTTCATATTTTGGAAATGTGAATCTAGCATAGAATATGTTGTGTCAGAGTGATTTGGAATATCACAAGTTGCAGTGATCAACAGTTGATAATTGATATCTTAAAGAAAACAAATCTGCACCAAACAAGACAATAATTATGAATAAGCTGTTAAACAAAACGTAGAAAAGGTATTGATATAAATACTCATGTGTATATGCTGTAAGGTTAATATAAATAACAATTAAGTATAGATTCAAAGTTAGACAATCAAATATCTTGAATTTGTATCTGAAGGACAAACCAAACTGCAATCATTGAATGAACAAGTGGGTCAGAAAGCTGTTGAATCTAGTGTATTCAGGCTGTGCTGTTTTTAGTGTCACATTAAGAAGTGGCAATAGTAATGTCAGGTAGAAAAGGATATTGATGATGTTGGCAGATGGTTTCTTCAGCTTGTTTGCAGTACATTCAGCTGTGTTTATTCATACCTTGAACAGGCACAGAACTAGCAGGATTCTGTGATTGTCTGGCCGCGCTCTGGCTGGAAGCTGGCGTGGAAGTGCGTCAGCAGTATTGACCTGCTGTATGAATTTTTGATGAAACCTATGTATAGTGGCAGGTATTGATCTGACTGTGTTATTGCTCTGCTGTATAGACAACACATGCATGCACATAGACTGCTGCATTGAGAGACGACACCCACACTGCTACCAGGGTACCCCAAGATACACGGGGCGTACACAGTCAGGACTTTTACTGGGGGACCTAGTATGACACCTGGATGATCAGGGTGAGTGGTAGGAAGATCTCTCACTGGACTGGGACCAAAACCTGCTTTGTAGGGTTTCATAACACTGGCGGTAACAAAGGCTGGCCCAGTTATTTCTCAGTCTGTAGAGACAGGGGAGTTCCATTTTGAGAAAGTATGTGGCAGAGATAATGGTTTTTGGGAATTGATAGCCTGGTCTGTGTTAGTCAAACCTGTTAGTTGGGCTAGTTGTAGCCTGCTAGCTTTGTCATTATCTTCATGGTACACAAAACAACACTTTTGGTGAGTTACAGTCAACAAATTGACTTCATGTGCTTTTTGCCTCTATATAAAGTACTGGGTAGGCTGTTAGGTGGATAGAATGGCGGGCAGAAGTAGACAGTTCTATTTTGTAAGTATGCCACAGTTATTTAGGATTAAAGGCAACACTTGATGAGACTACACGAAACATGTACTTTGTGCTTTTGTTTCCAGTTTCAGGGATGTTAGTGAAAGAACTATTGTCATCTAGATAGTTAGAAAAGAACTGTGTTAATCACTGTTTTTTATTTTTTGGCTGTATATTTCTGTGTTTCTATCTAGTTGGTAGTTTCTGTATCACTTCATATTATTGACATCACATATCACAAGGACTGATGGACACATGTTGACAAAATATAAATATTCTTATGTGCTATGTACATCATTAAAAACACTGTAGATGTCCTAGACATTGGATTGGTTCAGGAAAAGGAGTGGAATACTTCACCCAATTCCTTGTCCATTTACTTTACTGCTGGAAGTTGGATGCAGTTTCAAATAAATTATGACTTTCAGATTATATTTACAGTACCTACAAGAACAGCTTGTATTTAACGACAAGGTGCTGGTGGACAAATATTCAATGCTTACACAAGTTACCGACAATTTTTACTGGCAATTACTTCATTTGTATGTAAACATGACTCTGAATAGAAAACTGTGAAAATTAAGCCAGGTATTTGTCTTGTTGCAGGGGTCTGCTGATTCCAACTATAGCCAGCCATCATCTGACCTCTCGCTGGATGAGGAGAGGGAAGCTTTACGCAGGGAAAGTGAAAGGCAGGCGCTTGCTAAGCTAGAAAAAGCACGGGTAAGTAGGATTTTATTTAAAAGAATTTAAGATATATAAGTAAAGAAAAATTTACTGGATTATTGACATTTAATATAAAGGGATATTAAGTAGACAGATCTTTCCTTTCACCTGTTTTTAGAATCCTTTGCGTCATGTCTTTGGAATTGACATTTAAGCAGTGTTCATCAAGTTTATCATAATTTACAAGTGAGGGATATATATATATATATATCCAGAATGTGGCTAGCAGTCTGCCTGCAGTGAGACAGGGATGTCACTCTGACATCATAATTAATTTATTTCTTGTAAAGCCCATTCCATTTTCTTACATTTTACATTTATTATATTAAAATGCTGAAGAATTACAGCACTAAAATACTTACTTGAAAATTTTTAAAACATAAATCATAAAAAACTATTTAAAAGATGGCATTTAAGAGAATTATTTCCAGATCTATAAATAAAGGGGAGTTCAGTCCACTATTTTGAGCATAAACAATAAAAACCATCTCCATGAAATTTGGTACACTGTCCAAGTGTAAAATTGTTATGAAAGTAATTGTGACTGTGAGTCATTTTAGTTTAGTAAGTGTAATAAAAGTGGCCTCACTGCGTGGTTGGCCAGTACAGCACAAGGGTGGACCCAGAAGATGAGATATTTGTCATCCAGTCTTCTACACCTGTCATTGCCATTGTTAAAGTTGTTTGGTAGAAATAACAAGTGTAATTTTCTTTTATAATTCAATATATAGTATAAATTTCATATGATTTTACCAATTATATAGCTTTCTTCAGTATTATGGGGGATGAAGGAGGGGTATTCATTGTTTTGCTATCATATTTAAGGGGTTCGTGTGATATTTAAACAACAGGAAATAATGTTACATGATGAGACAACATGAAGTAAGAAAACCTGATTTATCATCTAAGTACAAGATACATTTTTGGATCAAATTAAACCTGAACTGGGAATGAACCTCAAAGTTTTTCGCCATGTGTGTTTTCACTCCACAGCACTAGCATGGTAATGGTATTGATCAACTAGTGGTGGAATGTGAACACCAGTTGTCTGACCCTCATGCTAATTTCATAACCTTCAGATGGAGACCTGTTAATGCATCTTGCACATGGGTATTCTCCATTGAAGGAGAGAGTGTTGGGAGGGGAATGACCAGTCATTGCAGTTTTTTCATGTGTCAATAGTACTGGCTGTTAGTACTGACTGCAGTCTAAATATAGATATGGCCACTTTTAACTTTCAACATCTCTCTCTCTCTCTCTCTCTCTCTCGCATTTGTTTGATATATTATGAGCACAGTTATCATTCAGTCCCACACATGTTGCAATATTAATTTATTGAACACTATTGTAAAGCATCATGCCAATAAGTTGTTCAACCACACAGTGTGTATACTTGGGTTTATCTTTAATGCATGCTATGTGAATTCCTCCATATCTTTGGACAGTTACAGGATGGAAAGATATTAAAACAGTTAGCAGATGGTAAAATATCCAACCCCAAAGCAGCATTAGAGCATTATAAGGTATCTGGAGTTATGACAGAAGACTTGCCTGAAGTGGGAGTGCAGTGGATTTTTGTTCATTTTTGTCTAGACATATTTTTGTTTATCAGAATTTAACTATTGAACATAAGTGCATTTTCTTTTTGTTTACATCTCTAAAATCAAATATTTTTCTGTATTTAAAACTTTGTGTTTTTAAATAAGCTTTCTTCACTGATCTTTTAATAATGAAAAAGATTAAATGTTTTACTATACTGATAGCAAGGTTTGCATTTTCTTTAAACCTTTTCCCTGCCATAAAGACAGGCATTCACACATTTACACACACCCACACACCATACTGCTGTATAATTTAACTCCATGTTTTCTTGAACTACATTGATCAATGCTGGGATGCAGTGGGCATTGATTTCCCTTGGTCTCTAGGAATACACACTAAGTTCTAGCTGTAGACCATCTAAACCAGTTCAGAGGACCTCATACTTACATGGGTGAAAGTTTTCAGGATTATGCCTGATTTCAGGATTTTCAGTCTTCATTTTGACTGTTCTTATATTGTCTTAATGCAATGAGAAATTGGAAGCTATGTTTTCAGGATTTTCAGTTTTGACAACTTTCACCCATGTACTTTGGGGACTGATATGTTTATAAATATGGTATGTTCCATGTTTCAGGCATATATGGTACATCTGACTCAGAAAATGTTTATACAAAATGGGCTATTGAGAGAAAAAGTCATCTTTCAGCACCCATACCATAGCTATGATTCAGCATCTCTATCCTCTGTTACAAGATCAATGTTAATTTGTTTGGTATATTTGCTTTGCACCAAAAGATTGCTCCACTTTTGAGATGGCCTATTGATCGATTTTCATGTCATCTGGATCCTCTTTATTATGCCTAATCTCCACATTGATCACCCTGGTATTGTCTGGGACAAGGTCTACAGAAGAAAGGGCTCCACTACCACTGGCCTGGTTCAAAACCTGAGGCTGACACCATTTTTACTATAACATAAACGCTTGAATTTTTACTCCAAAGTATTATTTTGTGTAAAACAAATTAAAATGATATTGGGGGTGGGGTGGGGTGTGCATATTTTTCATTTCTATTTTAAAAGGTGATTATTTTTTAGCAATTCGTGAATACCTTGCTATGCCATTGTCACACATGCTATTGTCACAGTTGTCCTCATTTTGAATTAAACAGTTATTGGTCTGTTCATAATTTGAATTATATTATATTATATTACTACCAACTGTCTGATCTATCAGCAGAACTTACACATAATTAGGATTATGTAGTATTTTTAATTTTGCAGGTCTCATGGTTGTCAATTGTAGAAACTAATTAAGATCTCAGGATAAAAGTTGGAAGTCTGTCAGTTCCATGTCTTGTTCCATCTAATCTCTCTAGTTCTATGTAATCAATATGTTCACTGTTGCATTACAGAGGAATCAGGGTATGGAAGTATCCCTGGTATTAGGACCAACACAATGCCAATATTTACTTATGTTTCTGATGCTGGTGACCTGGGAGCTACTTTTCTGTTTTTAGTATTTTATTTTTTTCTGCCATGTTTTATTTTGATGTGAATTGTAAGAATATAAGATAACTGGGGTAGCGCTAGCACTCGCCAATTTAGCCAAATGCTAAAACTGACTTAAATTGGCTAAAGAAAAAGGGCTTGATTTGACATGTTTTAGCCAAATTATAACCATTTTGGTAACGAATTGACAAAAATGTGGTGATTTGGCTAAGCGAAAAAAATTGCTAGCGCTACCCCAGGATAAGAATAAATATCAAATATAGCTTACAGTATTACAATTATCACTGAATTAATGTTCCCAATCTTTTCATATTGATTTTCTGTTTCAGTCCAAACCCGTAGCTTTTGCAGTTCGGACTAATGTATCCTATGATGGATCCTTGGACGATGATTCCCCTGTACATGGCTATGCCAGATCATTTGATGTCAAAGATTTTTTACACATAAAAGAGGTAAGTCAAGGAAAAATAAAAGCACAGTTTCTTTTATTCTTCTTTTCATGTGGTAAATATATTGCTGCTTTACTTTGGAAGTCATTGTGAATTTTTATGTAACTTAAGAAGTTAGTTATGATACTTCATGCATACTATGGTACCTTCTAATCATTAGGTGTTATCATAAGTCATTTAACAACTATATAGTAGATTTTTTATCTTGAAATGGCATTTCTGGCTGCCATATTGTATTTGGTGGCCATATTGGAATTTTCATGAATGCTTCTATATCCAAATATGCTTAAATTTCCATTATCCACAATTCTGCTAAATTTCATGGTTTTAGGTGAAAAATGCACAATTTTCACCAAGTTGCTGGACTAACACACCCTGAGCTTCAGAGATAACTTGCCACTAACCTCTTCACTATAGCCTATCTTCATCGTGTCAAGTTACCTCTGACCACATTCGATAGCCTCCGCCGCCCGCCAATCAAATTTAAAGCCCGCACTCAATGACTTATTGAACGATCTAGCCAATGAACGCGAACGAGTCAAAGCGCGCTTTGTTCAAATCCGGACCAATCAAAGATAAGGCTGAATATCAGGGACTTGCCGTAACCTGTGGGCAGCACGCAAAATACATCATCCCTCAGTAGATAATGATGCAGGGCCTCAAACTGATCTGGTTTCAATACCGATATACTCATATTTTGCAAAGAATCAAGAGATAACTTAACACATTAATTTACGTAGTCACTCGTAGGAGACGCCATGCTTTCTTTGTGTACGGTTATGCACTCGGAACTACTCGGATGTCTCCGCACTCGACAATAACTTTGTTGTTAGTATGGAGCTTGCGGAATCAGCCGAGGATTGCCGATTGACGGTCAACCAATCAGCGTTTTCACCAAACTTTGGTGAAAAATTTTGAAACATGGATTCGATTGGCTTATATAAACTAGGTCAAACTATTTTCGTCAGAGGTAACTTGACACGATGAAGATAGGCTATAGTGAAGAGGTTAGTGGCAAGTTATCTCTGAAGCTCAGGGTGGACTAACATAACCCTATTTCCTATTGTAATTGTGTAGAAATTCAACAATGACTGGTGGATAGGGCGGCTGGTGAAGGAGGGCTGTGATATCGGCTTCATCCCCAGCCCTGCCAAACTGGAATCTCTACGGCTACAGCAGTCCACAGGAAAAGGACAGAAGCTCTACCCTAGGTAGGTGACACTAGCCACCGCCTTACATGTTTTACTTCTTTGTTTACTTGTATTGTAACACTTGTATCATAGAAAGAGTTGTAGAAAGAGTGTTCAGTTTCCAGGTCTCTATTAAATCTTGCTGATAGATAAGAGGGTGGGATAATGACCCAGCTTTCAGGTCACATTGTTGAATTATGTTTGATTGAAAAGATGCTGAAGACCAGGATAGACAGGAATTCCTGAAATGAAATGAAAGACGTGACACCTGTTCATTGGGGAAACCTCTATGAGGATAGCTTGGGTAGACCATGACATTTATAAGTCTGTTTTTCAATGGCTTAATTATCCATGTGGCAGTCTCTATCAGAGAACAGATATTACTGTCAGGGATTTCTTGGAAACAATCACTATCAGTTCAGCCATGCTGTGTCATTTAGGTAGTATAATTACTGGTAATTAGACCCGTATTCTGGGATTCACAGGATTTTTCAGGGAAATTGTATGGTTTGGTGCATACACAAAACCAAAATATCTCTAGTGACATCTAGGGGCAATATTTATGGGTAAGTTACTCAGAATAGGGTTAGGAAATATCAGGGGATAATGTCTATGAGTAAGTTACTCAGAATACCCCAGGGTTGGGAAATGGTAATGTTCAAAATGAGTTTTGTCAACCTAGCTAATACGCAGTAACAATATGGTAAAAACTGGGGATTATACTACTATGTTGGAAATGAGGAGGTTGGTTAGCGTGTTCATTGCATAGCATTCAGGGAAACTCCCAGTGGAGTTAGTGCGCATTAACTAGGTTGACAAAATTCATTATGAATGGTGCGTATGAATAAGTTATTCAGATTGTCCCTGGGTTGGAAATATCTGGTGGTGATTTAGTTTTGATAAGGCAGGCCTACCCAACTACCAGACTCGGCACATAAGGATCCTGAATTAACCGGTATATCAGACCACACTACCCGTGTGTGTCAGATCGCATTTCGGAGTATCATACCCCAGAACAAATTTTGTAGGACAACCGCGGGCTCATCCTGTCAGTGTTCTGATGGGTTTTGTGGTCCGATATACCGGTTAATTCAGGATCCTTATGTGCCGAGTCTGGTAGTTGGGTAGGCCTGTAAGGTAACATGAATGTCTTCCCAGACACCTCTTGCCTGTGTGACCTATTCCTACCTACTGGAGGATTTGCATAGGAGAGTAAAAAGCCGGTTTCTTGCAGCGATTAAGTCTGCTATTCGTACTTTAATATTCGTGGTCAAAATTTTTAGGATAGTGTGTTAGTTATCAACTTCTTTTTTAGTTGCTATATGAAAGGAGAGGAAGAAATTATTTGCTTGGTTCAATAATTGTTGGGTGTTGGTGGCGAGAGCGGGAGTCACCATGTGTTGCTCGAGCAGGAACACCTTGACGACCGAGCGGCGTGATAAAATGTAAAATACTGAGATGGATACTTGAGCGAGGTTGGCATTTATTGAAGGTGGGGTCAATAAAGACGCCCAATGCATGTTTAGCAGAGTAGCAAATGCATTATTATCAGCAGTGATATTTCAAAGAATAGTATGTTTTATGCTAAACTTCCAAAGCTTGATATAAAAAGTGTAGATGGATATTGTGTATGAACAAACAACTGAGCTAAAAGTAGGGGCTAGAAATCAGCAACAGGTGTAGAGAGGCGATCTTTTTCAGCCAGAGCCACAGGTATTTGGCTGTATTCACTGTGTGATGTGGAAACCATGTGTTTATGTTAACTACAGGAGTTTATTGTGGGTAGCCAGGTGGGCCTCTCAGCAGTTCAATCTAGGAGTGATTGGGGAAGGTGAAGTGGCTTTATCTGAAATAATGAAAGTAGGGCTGATCAAGACTTGGAGATATTTTTCCTGTTAAACATATAGAGTTAAATGTTGTGTTTCTTTCATGTGTTAAAGATGTTGCTTTATAAGATCAGATGCTGGTATGGATAGGAATTCTATGAAAAGAATGGTCCTGGCTGTCACTGACTTGGTATAGATATCACACCGTGGCAGCTCAGGGATTTCATTTAAGCAACCAGAGCCTGTTTGTTGTTTTTATTCATTTTCACGTTAAGATCAGCAGGCCCTTCCTTATCTGGAGATAAAAATCTGTCTTGGTATTAAATTATTTGGTTGAAGGCCACATCACACTGAGGTGATTTTTAATAAAAATCCCACCCTCTCTGTCTCTCACTCTCTCTCTCATCTATTTAATTATGAACATTTCAGCAGTAGGGACTGAGAATTTGATCCATTCAGGCTATTGCTTGTACTCTAAGATTGCTAGTTTTGCTTAATCTTTGAAATGACATGTAAATCTATATTGATAAATTATTTTCTTTTCATTCATTAAAACTGACCAGCATGTAAGGTGATTAAGAATATTAGTTATTTTTGTGAACGGTTTTGTCACCAGCATTGCCAGTAATGAAGATATTCCTCCTGTAATATTAACGAATTTGAAGCCTAATGCCTCCCACCTGCTTCAGTCTACAAGGCAATGTTCTGCCTGGGGGAATACGTGTCTGCTAATGGGATGTTGAACACCATTAGGAGAATTGGAGAAAAGTGCTGCTTTCTAGGAAAAAAGCTTATAAATAAAACACTGTTTTTATTTTATGTTTCAGCAAAACAAGCTCCTCAACCAACATAGACAACCTTCTCACCAATTCCAAGTCTTCAAACTCTCGGGGATCCACTCCTCCCACACCAGGTATACTGAACAAAGCCCCAAATAGAGAAGATTTATCATCCATAAATGGCCATAAATTTATTTTCTAATGCTGTTAAGCATATCCCCAGAGAGCACAGTATAGATTGTATCCCATTTTCAACCATGCCTGCAAATTGAGTATTGATATGTTGTGTATTATGCAATTATCATGCATATTTTACCTTTCTGTTTGTGAATCATGATATGTGTAATTCCCTTGTTCATGAATCATATATTAATATCTTGCTGACAACTTTACTCAGGTTATCAGCCAATTGATAGGATAGGCAAAATAGAAAAATTATCTTGTCCTGTTTAAAATGAATTTAAGATAAACAAAAACACATGGATTTAATTAATTATTTTCTCCCTGTTCAGGTGTTGAAGTTGAGAATGGGGACAGTAATTTAGGTGAAGACAGTGACAGCCTGGGCAACTCCAAGGCCAGCAAGGCCAGCATAACTCCTCCTGCCAAAGAGAAGAGGAAACCTTTCTTTAAGAAGGTAAACCATGAGTTCTGTGGTTCTCTAGCTAGTGTTCTTGAATGTTTATAGAATAATTAAAGGGTTTCTTACCCCTGTTTACACACTGTGCTGTACAGTAGTATGGTGGAGATGATTTGAAAGCAATTAATATGTAGTTGATAAACCGTGTTCAAGTTTAATAATTCAAAACTTTCAGGATAGTTAGAAAAACAGTTTTGTATTCTCCCATGATTCACTTTTCATCTTCACATCATATTGTTCAACTACACTTTAATTTAGTGTGAAAGCATTCTGCCATATGAAGTCATGCCTTCCATGATTTACACTTCATCTTTACATTATGTTGTTCAACTTGACTTTTCTTCAGTCTGAAAACATCCCGCCATATGAAGTCGTGCCTTCCATGATTTACATTTCATCTTTACATTATGTTGTTCAACTTGACTTTTCTTCAGTCTGAAAACATCCCGCCATATGAAGTCGTGCCTTCCATGCTTTACATTTCATCTTTACATTATGTTGTTCAACTTGACTTTTCTTCAGTCTGAAAACATCCCGCCATATGAAGTCGTGCCTTCCATGCGCCCTGTTGTGTTTGTTGGTCCCTCCCTGAAGGGCTACGAGGTCACAGACATGATGCAAAAAGCACTCTTTGATTTTCTTAAGCACAGATTTGAAGGACGGTAAGTAAAGACTGAGCACATGTTAGGCACATAGACCCTGCCTGGTATAGTATGCTATATGATAACATATATATGTATTTGTAAACTTAACATAAGATATGCTGACCATGGTTTTATTATCTTTATCTTATGGTTCATAAATTGAATTATCAATTAAGCTTCATGTCTGGATTTAATGAGAAACCTAAGAATTTAGTAAGCAGTTTTCAAGTAGACAAAGTTTTTTTTTAAATACTTATTTACGTTAATGGTATCTTTATCACTTTATGTTTTTAATAAGATTCAAAGAATATTCAATATATTTGTCACATCTTTCATGTTATTTTTATCTCTGTCTCTTACAGGATTGTCATTACCCGTGTCACTGCAGATATTTCTTTAGCCAAGAGGTCACTTCTCAACAACCCCAGCAAACGGGCAATAATTGAACGCTCAAATAGTAGGTCTTCTTGTATAGGTATGTTGCATGCTGGCTGCAGCTTTTTCTTCTTTTATTTGCTAACTTCTAGTTGATTCTTTTATCATTTACGTTGATACACATTGGAAACTGGCCTAGACTAGATTGGTATGATGAACTGTTGATGTCTCTGTTTTCATATCTACATGTGGGATAAAGTTTGTGGAGACTGGACCGGACACTGGGGGTTTATTTGGGGTGCTTGGACACTATCCATGTTAATCTTGAATGTGTAACAGCTATTACTGGTAACACTAGTTGTATATATATTGATATTGATTTATTTACTTATAACTGATTTATGATGTTATTTTAGTTCCACAATTACACTGGGTCCATGTATGTATGTACAGTTATAGGAGTGTAGTTTCTATCATTTTAATGCTTCCACTTTTATATATGTTTTTCACAGCTGCAGCAGCTCATGCTATTCTAGAAGCTCTCACAGTTCTCTGATGACTGATATGATTGCTTGAGCATGATCAGGGGTCACTGACCTTGCATACATAGCAGTACTATGGCTGGCAGTAGTTCTCTGGCAGTCTTTTGACTTCATATATATATATATATATATATTCATTATTTAACTTCAGCACAGTCTCTCAAAGTAAATGATTTTATGGATAAATAAAAAGATAAAAAATTAAAATGTTCAATATGTTTTGAAAATACTGGTTGTCGTGTCAACTTGATGCATGTTTTTTGTGTTGAAGAATTGAGGCAGTAATATTTGCATTTTGCTGCACAACATTTGCTGCATTTGATTGTTCTGAAGTTAAGACAGGGAAATATTATTGCAACTGCATGTGTGATATGTATTTATAAAAAATATCTGGAATTTTTTTCCTGTACAACTTGTTTGGAGAAAGGTTGCACTTAAGTTTCTCATTACAGAGAGGTTTGTTGGTGAAAAATAAACAGGCATTGGGCACCTTGTCAGTTACTCAAGGCAAATTAAAAATAAACAGGCATTGGGAACATTGTCAGTTACTCTAGGTATATTAAAAATAAACAGGCATTGGGCACCTTGTCAGTTACTCAAGGCATATTAAAAATAAACAGGCATTGGGAACCTTGTCAGTTACTCAAGGCATATTAAAGATAAACAGGCATTGGGAACATTGTCAGTTACTCAAGGCATATTAAAAATAAACAGGCATTGGGAACATTGTCAGTTACTCAAGGCAAATTTACCACTTGGTGGAATTATGTAATATGCAATAGCTACCACAGCATAGCTTGAGTTCCATTGAGTTCTGGTTTCCAATATAAAGATCTCTGTAGACTGACTAGAGGATAATCTAAGGATGTATTTATTAAATACAATTCTTGTGTTGGGCAGATAGGACTTTTATGCATATGATATACCACATGCATAACTTTAAAGCTTTGAAAATTGATTTCAGCACAAAAAAGTAAGCATGTTTTGATATATGCCATTGAATTGGAGCATGCATTGCTCACTTTGCAATTGCATAGAATATATATTATTACATATTTGAGAAGTTTTAAGCATGAAGAACTTAAAAAGCCACACAGTGACTATTTCATGGTAATGAACAGCAGGTGGTCTCAATAAATTGGTTTGGATATTTTGTTACTCCCTGTATCTCATTACTGCATAAACTGTAGGGTTTGGGATGGTCTTGCTATTCTTCATCTTTTCAGAGCAGCTCATTTTTTTTCATCAGAAAAATAAGTATCATTTGCATTTAAATGGTCCATGTAACAGAGCTTGTTTGTCTTATTACAGCTGAGGTACAGGCAGAAATTGAGCGCATCTTCGACCTAGCACGGCACTTACAGCTGGTCGTCTTGGACTGCGACACCATCAACCACCCGTCACAACTTGCCAAGACCTCCCTCGCACCCATCATTGTCTATCTAAGAATCTCATCACCAAAAGTAAGTTCATCTTGTGCAAATAACACTGAATACTTTTCATACTTTGTGATCATGGTTTTTACTTTGAGGTAAGGCAACGAAATATGAAGACTTTGGTGTGAATTGATAGCAATTTAAAGTATTTAGAGACATAAAGCTGCCTACTCTTCATCTTGATAAACATGAATTTGAAAGAAAGAGAAAGCTTAAGTATGCTGGTGTGAGAAAATAAGTGATTTTACATCATCATTCCAGGTGTTGCAGAGGTTGATCAAATCTCGCGGCAAGTCTCAGACCAGAAATATGACAGTCCAGTCCGTGGCAGCCGACAAGTTACTACAGTGTCCCCCAGTGAGTATAACATACCTCAGCCAGGGAGGAAAATATACTACTTCTGGCTATACTGGAGGAGGTTTATGAAGATCCATATCAAATTAGGATTTGTTTCTTGATTGTCTTCAGATGAATGTCAGTTGTATTCACTCTGTGAAATAGTAGCGAACAACATGGCTAAAAAATCTAGAAATAATACTGCAGTAAATATATTTTATTTTTAAAATATTCCCACAAAATAGTACTTAATATAGAAATCTTAACTTGACTATTTGGATATTTTAGGAAATGTTTGATGTGATTCTTGAAGAAAACCAGCTAGAAGATGCTTGTGAACATTTAGCAGAGTTTCTGGAAGCCTACTGGCGTGCTACTCATCCCCCGGTTCCTGAGAGCACATCTCCAAAGCGTTTCCCTGAGCTGACCATGGCCTCCTCGGCGTCCCCAAACCTTAGCCGCCATAACACTGTGCAGGAACATCCTCGCCAATTAGACAGGCACAGGATGGACAGAATGCACAGTGGTGGCGGTGGAAGTCACGCTTCTCCAGACCAACAAAACCGCCGAGGGCACGATGTGAGGCACGACCAGCACTGGGACAGTGGAATGAGATCGCCAGACTATGGGGACTATGACCGCAAGCAGGAGTACAGTGCTAGAGATTATGATAGGGAAAGGACACATGGTGACTACCATTCACGAGATTATGACTCGAGGACTTACGACCGAGGGTCGCGTGATGACTTTGATCATGACCTCGATGCAAGAACCTTTGATGATTTTGAGGGGATGCATGGACATCATATAGAGCGGGAGCATCGTGAAGGCGGCTATGGAAGCCCAGATAGACAATATCGATCTCCTAGCAAACGGCACCCACCGGTGAAACAAGGCAGTATTGCAATCTAATTGGATGACTTTCTATGGAGATTGGATTACATAATACACCATTTTTATTTCCTTACATTGATGTCACCTTGCTCTCCTGGAACCCAGTGGTTTTTTACTCCAGTTGAAAAGAGAAAGAGAGGGAGAGAGAAAGAGATAGAGGGGGGGGTGGACAGTAGGGAGAGGTTCCAGAGTCGGGGCTCACTGTACGGAACAGTTCTTGTTTTGGTCCCTTAACCAAGTGACTCTATGGAATACCGGTACAACTTAATACACCATGAACATAATACACCACACCATGGCATGGGTGTCAAGGACATTCAGTGGAGCTCCAGAGTTCACGTGGAACACTTGGCACAGATGCAGGGCAACAGTTGCCCATGGGTGCAGAGGTTTGCTTTAAGTTTCAGAATGCATTCAGCACCAGGTATTGCAAACACATATATTCTAATGATCTGTTGGCCATCTAACACCTCCCTGTACACAGAGGTGTGGATGGTGTTTCTTCTGGCAGAACTGTTGGACATGATGAAAGGGGATGAGTGGGTATTGAGAAAATATTGTATCACATCCCTGGAAATAACAGTGAAAAAATGTAAGACAAGGGAGATGGAGATTTGAATCTTCAATGTGGGCAGGACTTCAGCCCAGATGTTTTGAAATGATGTCAGAACATGAGACAAAAACAAAGGATCGATTTCTACTCAGTTGTTCTTTGTGTGGACCTTTTTCATTGGATAGTAAGGATATTTTGAACAAAATACCTGCAGTCATTTTGTATGCTTTGTTAAGATGTATTGGGGTACAGGATCTTGGGATGTTCAATTTTTAAAATGCTATTTTGCCTCCTGTAAAATTTGTTGCCATTCCTTGTTCTAGTTGACCTCCATTGTTTCATTTTAGCCACGATCAAAGTGAATGCTGCCTATGCATTTAAAGTGTGGTTTAACAAACACTGCAGAATTTACCCTTTGTTTCGTGTTTCTTATAACTAGGTTCTGTAAACAATATAGGATCAGTGCAATATACATACAAATATAGATATACGTATGTATAAATATAAATATATATATATATATATACACACACAAACACTCATGTAATCATAATGCAGGTTAGCTTGGAGAAAATTGCTTCTCTGTAATTTCTGTTGTTGTTGTCATCAGAATGCTATTTATATTATTCTGTATGAGGCATGTTAGTCTCCATCATGAGGTATGACACCAAACCATCAGGTGTTTTCCTTGTCGCTGTTCCAAGATATAGCATGTAAAATGATAAACTGTTTCCACATAGATGATGTGGAAACTGGTGGATAGTAGACATATAATTTACACAGGTATCAGTCACAAGCAAGAAGGATAGGTAGGAACAGCAGCATGTATAGGCAGTAAATAGGCACAATTTCTATCGCCTAGTACCATTTGAATTGACTACATGGCCAGCGAGAAATAGGTACAGGACTACGTGAATTGACTATTAGGTCATTGGGAGATAGGTTCAAGAGTATGTGAAATGACTACCAGGTCGGCGGGAAATAGATACAGGACTATACGAATTGTCTACCAGGATAAGGGGAGAAATGTGGCTAGCTTTTAAGGCAAACTGATATGAATGGACCTGAGATCTTTTATTAAAAAAGGTCATGGCATTAATATGAAAAGCATTTGACAAAAACAACTATAGATAGTAGCAAAAAAATCTGCAATGAGTTTGTATGGATTTACTGTTTAAAATGATTTGGGTACATTATGGACAGAGTAATCTGTAGTTGTATTACAATGACAACAAACTGTAATAGACTATAACTAACCATGCTTTCAGCTTACAATCAGCATGCTTTGAGTTCTGTTTGTGACTTGTTATCTCCTGTCTAATGACGATATATCAGATATCTTAAGCAACTCAGCTCCTGACTAAAAAGAATATATTAGTTGTCTAAGTAACTTATCTTCCATCAAATAAGAATATATCAGTTTTCGTAGCAACTCAGCTCCTGACTAAAAAGAATATATCTATCATCTTAGCAACATTCTATTTCTGTCTAAAGAGAAAATATCAGTTGTCTTAAACTTATCTTCCATCTAATAAGAATATATCAGTTTTCATAGCAACTTAGCTCCAGATTAATAAGAATATATCTGTTGTCTTAGCAACATGTCTTTTGTCTAAAGAGGAAATATCAGTTGTTTTAGCAACTTAACTTCTGTCTAATAAGAATATCAGTTGTCTTATTGTCATTGCATGAAGAAGTCAACAATATTTGGTGCTTGTCTGTAGTGATGTTGACAGTATGATATACAACACAGTATAAAGAGAAACCTGGGACACCAGTTGTAAAAAACCTCTGAATTATATAATTACATAATGTTTGGAGATGCAAACTGGATTCTGAGACAAAGTTTGCCTAACAAGGATCCTGTGGGTATCTTCATTATAAAATATCCTTGATGAGTTGTCAGGTATACATTAGCTAGATGGTCTGGTAAAGTTTGTAAAAAACAACTTCAAAATCCACAAATGTCTAGAGAACCTTGCCCCCAAATATGATAGCCTGTGCTCCTTTATATTTGCCCAGAAGTGGTTTTCATGCTATGCTCTGTGTTCTATCCTCCTTGGTGAAAGTGATCATACTTCATATATATCATGCTTGTAGTGACTGTGGTGCCCCAAGCCTGCAGGACGGAAGGCGCTATTTATTCATTTTATTGCATGGTAAATGTTTTTGTTAGAGTGAGTGACTATAATGTTCATATAAAAATTTGATTCACTAGAACTGTCGTCTTGCCATGGATGTATGAATTTTTTCTAAGAATTGATGATTGCAAAGTGTACCTTGAATTGTAAACTTTTGCATTTAATTCATCAGTTTTTTGACTGAGAGAATCTCTGGCAGAAAGGGGAGTATTATTGCATTAAATATATGATTGAATTAGTGTTGATGACTTCTGAATTATTTGTCAGCAGTGCTGTCTTTCATGTCATGGTACAAAGGGAAGTCACATGTTTGCAGCATGGAATCATGGGAACTCCTGGCACTTCCTGTAGTGAAAATTAACACCATTTATTGAAGTTTATATTATATTGGAATCCCCAACAACATAACTGTGGTCAAAGCATCTCCTGGCCAGTTTTATTTTTGTGATAGCTACCCTCTCTACATTTAGCATATCATTTTACAGTGGTCAAAGCAGGCCTCTGCTGTAGTCTCTAAGTGTTACACAGTGTTTTTTATAGTTCAGTGCCTGATTTCTCTGTTCTATTGCTGTGTGAATAGGATAAAGTTGGAGAAAAAGATTGGCATTGCACAAGGAATGCTGCTCTTGAATGTTTACTTATGTTACTTAATGATTAAAAATTTTTATTGGCAGTTCATATCTTTATGTCTGGTGCATGTACTATCCTGTCAGGGCATGGAGCTGATTATAATATTTCAATGAGCTGATTATAATATTACAATGAGCTGAGAACAGTGGGGAGAGGTTGCTGTCTGGCATTACCCTGAAATATTAGCATAATTAAATGTCAAGCAGCAGCAAATACCCTTGACCCTAAAATTTACCCTATATTTTGTCTGTTTTATATTGCGAGAAGTTTTCTTCTTATTTTTGATTTATGTGGTGCACAATTTTGTTTGGTGAAAAATTTGGTCTTTAAGGTGTGACAGTGAGAAAACCTTTGAAGGCCTTTGAAGTGCAAATAGTGTTTTTGAAATTATAGAATTGTAATTGTATTTTATCTGTAGCATTGTTTACTTATATAAACGGGTTGAACAGTTCAATCAGTACCACATGTAGATAAAGATCTGATGGAGGTGTGAAGAAAAGAAGCATGATGGTGCTGAGGTTTCCCCTTTTAAGTATATATGTTATATTATTGCAATCTCCACGAGTTTCCAAAATTCATTAAAAAAATTTTGAACAGCCCTTTGAACTGGACATTTCTTCAACTTTCAAAATTTTCTTTCGTACATGTATTTAACAGTTTTCTCGTAATCCAACATTTTTGTGTCTAACTTTGTTCAGTTAGACTTCTTTCCATAGTTAGTATGGAGTGTTTTTTTAAAAAGGCCTATTTGGTCTTTTTTAGTTCTGGTCGTAATGTTTAAATCCCAATAATATTTTTAACAAGTCATTCAAGTGCAATGTTAAAGTATACCAGTTTTACATTTGTATTTTATTTATTCTGACAGCCCATATCGCTTTGTGCTACTGCTATTATGTCCTAAATGAGAGATTTTATGTGACAAGTTTCACAATCATTGATACCGTGTTTTTACAATACTCATGCATGTAGACTTTAGACAGAATGTAGCTTGAATTGTGATTTACGGCAAGGATTCTGAAGGTGTTCATTCTACTTCTGTACCTATTCACCTAAAGGCATGTTAATATTGCATATAATAGTAGTCTACTAGATTTGAAAGGGGTGTTACCCTGTTGCCTTTATGGTATTATTTTCACTAAGTATGATAAATAATATTACTCCCATTTTGTTGGATTTGTAAATAAAATTTAACTCCATTATCTTTGTCTTTTATTCTGCTCCCATAGTTTTCATTATTGTTTTAATAAATTGTAACCAAACTGAACCCCAGTTGGAGTAAACAATCAAGTACAGTAATGGCTCGATTATTTCCATGGGAAAACTTATTAATTTTACAGATACAATACTTTTTAAGTCATAAATTCTTGGAATTAGAACATTGCTGTTGATTGGTAGCACAAAACTGAAAAACAGGCTACCTTATAGTTCTTTTCTCTACAAAGAAAAGCACCACAGATACTTACCAGAGACACAATTTTTATGACTCCAAAATTGTCCGTTATTTTCCCACGTTAAAATTGTTTCCACTTTCAGACACATCTTTTCAAGGAAGTTGAGTATTCTCATCAGTGTGGCAAAAATACAATTTCAACTTTTCAAAAACAATACAGAATGAATGAAATATAATTTCATTTCATGCAGAAATGTGATATGAATAAGAAAATATTAAATAGATTTTTACTGCCATGATTTTTAGTTCAAAACACAATGCCGGAACTAAGACTTCTGTTGTCTTTTGTATTGGGCCATTTGCTTTAACTATCACTGCCTTAATCTAGTTGAAGATTACATTTTGTAATCTGTAAGGTATGGTTTTAAGAAATTCATTGAAAAATATGGAGCTGATTTTTTTTTTTTTTTTTTTTTTTTTTTTTTGCATTATGGTATACTGGTTTGATAGTCGAGTTTGGTTATTAGACTGTTTTACACGGTTTGTTAACTAATCAAGGTGACAGTTCAGCGCGAGTGGGATGCTTCACAGCTAGGATCCAAAGATAATTATTTTTGGATCCTAGTTCACAGCAAGGACATGCTTGGCAAATGCGTTACATATGTAACATCGGTGGCAAGGTAATTCCCCACTTAACGCGGTTTCCTTTCAGCTTCTCAGCTCGCGCTTTCAGTCATGTAATTTTTATTTCACGGCGTTGCTGTTTGGCTTGTTTTCACCTTTGCAGAAGCAGTCAAAATAGTTTAAGGTTTGTTGAGGCGGCAAGCATAACCAGTTTTGGTTTTAATACCTAGTTAATGTGTAATAACTAAACAATTTGTAGGCCGGGGTTGGTAATAGTATTGGTAACTCTACCGTTTTCCTCAATTTTAGGCTTACCACCCTAAATTACAATTTCTCAAGACCAGATGTGACGCATCTAAACTGGTAGTAATTGCATAAAAAGGACTAAAACTTTATCGAACTAGCGCTTGAATAGATACAAAAGCTCTTGAAATGCGAATTATATTATATATACATGAGGTGCGACACAATTTAGCGAGGACTTTGGTATTAAATGTCTTGAAAGTTTGAAACACGGTGGAATGAGGGCTTGCCTTTGGTAAGAAACAAGCATTTTACGCCAAAAATTAAGGCAAGACCTCTCACTATCTCTGACCATTTAACTATTACAAAAACAAAAATGATTGCTGACACACAAATTTTCCTGCTAGAGTGTTGGATACGACTACGCTTTTTCAAAGCAGATCTTACACCAGCAGTAGTACAGAATAAGTGGAACAGTGACTTTTAATTCATTCAAGATCTCTCTCTGTTCAGCCAATCTGCACTATCTAAGTACTAATAGGTCTGTTGTTTGGGGGTCAATAATAAGTTTTAAATAAATTCATATACTGAGTATTATATTGCTGAAAAACCATGGATTTTTGCAGATGATAAAATTTTCCTCTAAGATGTATTTTCACTAATGACACTATTTAATGTTTTAACCCAGTAATGGAAGAAACTTGTATTTTTAGGTGATTTCCTGACCCCTTTCTGCAGGTGAGAAGTTTGGTCAAGTGTTGCTGACCACCCTCAGGAACATTTACAAGATGGACACTGACAGGACTTTTGATGCTTCTTTTTCTTCTGACTGTGGCTCTAGTTGCTCTTGTTGTTCTTGTTCTGGGTGTGACACTGACTCAGACACCTCCTGTAATGATGGCTCCTGTATTGTAGGTCCTAGCAGTGGAGGTAGAGCTAAGGGTACAGATGGAGAAATCACACCACTATGTGCAGTAGCTGCTGTTAGTAAAGACAGGGAGGATCAACAATATATGCATTCCACTAACAGCAAGTTTGAAAAAGGCACTGATGCTGCTGCTGATATGTTGAGAGTAATTGAAGAAGCTCACAGGAAGTTTGCAGAACGTTTCAGTGCAAAAACTGTAAAAGATTCCCATCTAGTGGTATCAACTACCTTTGTATTTCCAAGAGTTGTGGATTTGAATGAAGTACCTCAGTCAGAAATAAGTGGAGAATGTGTCAAGGAAAAATCAGACACCTTTATTATTGCAAATGATGATAGTTTAGTGCAAGGTGAAGGTAACTGCTCATCAGAACCTCTTGATCGTAGTTCTGATAGTTTTAAGGAAAACCTAAAGCCATCTCTGCCATTAGACACATCTAGTGAAAGTAATAGTAATGTCTTTATGGGAGCTGACCAAAGTCTGCTGGAGGTCTCATGTCAGAATGTTGGCAGCACCCCGTGTGATGTGGAAACCCCTGGGAAGACCTTTGATTTGATGGACATGGAGTCTGGATATCCTTTCTCCTGTGCTGAAGTTACTGAGGGGGAAAAAAGCCTTCAACTAGCAACCAGTGAGGAGATTAATATTTGTATAGAGTCAGATGGTTACAGTGTAAAATGTAAGGATTTGGACATTGTTAAGAAGAAAGAGCCCCAGTCAGCTACTACAGAGATAAATGGCCATGGTTCTACAGTGACTGACATGCAGAATTCTGTTGTGAAAATGATAGGGAAGAAAAATATAGTTAACAAACAAAGTAGACCATCTGTGACTGCTGGTCAGCAGAGTGATTCATGTAAAGTTCTGAAGGTTGATAAATCACAGTATTATATGAAAAGAACTTCAACTGATGACTCTAAATGTGGCAGTGGCTCTGCTGAAACTCCTACCTTTTCTCCAGAACATAACAAAGACAATGATATTCTTTTATTTAATGAAGAAAGTGACTTTATGAAACTTAGTAATGAAGAAGAAAAATCTAAAGTGGATTCTAGTGTGGTCTCTGCCCAGGGGGGTAACATCAGAGGGGAGTCGCCCTGCACTGCTGATGAAGCCCCTGACCCTGATATAGAAGTAGATAGTGAAAATTGTACAAACACGGACAAAAAATCAGATGCATCATTTAAATTAACTCTCACCCTCCCTAGGAAATCTGAAAGTAATGAAAGTTTGCCAAAAGGGGAAAAGAATAAAAAGGTAAATAATAAAGAAAAGATAGAAAATGACAAGAAAGTAAATAGTGTGGAAAATAAAGGTATAGGGCCCACTGGTGATTGTTGTGATGGTGACACACCCACTGGTGATGGTTGTCATGTTGACATGGATACTGGTGATAGTTGTGATGGTGACAGAAGTTATCACTGCCCCAAGTCAGGGTGTGATACTGTATTCTCAAAAAGACAATATTTGAGACAACACATGATTAAGCAACACAAAGTGGGCCAGAATACAATAGAATCCATTATGAAAGATTGGTTAAGTCATCAGGATGCTTTCACCTGTAGAAATTGTTCCAGCAACTTTTTAAATTTCGAGGCCTTGGAAGACCACCACAAAGATTGTATTCGTCTGACATGCAAAGTATGCAGAAAGACACTTATATCCCAAGCTGAACTAGATGATCACATGTTGGAGCATGGGGAAGATCAGATAGCATGCCAGGAGTGTGGAAAGGCATTTGCTAGTAAACATACCTGGTATATACATCAGAGAAGACATCTGGAGGTCAAGTCTCATAAGTGTCGTTACTGTGACATGACCTTTGCAAGGTCAGCTGAGCGAACCGTGCACGAAAACAGAATTCACATTGGGATGAAGAAATATTTGTGCTCTGAATGTGGAAAACGTTTCTGCACCAGGAAAGAACTGGTGGTTCATGGCTACATACACACGGGAGAACGGCCACATAAGTGTTCTTACTGTCAGATGGGGTACGCCACTGCTTCAGCTAAAACCATTCACGAGAGAACACACACAGGGGAGAGACCTTTCAAATGTAAGATATGTCCCAGTAATTACATGTCTTCATCTGATCTGAGCAAACATATGAAAAGAGCCCATGATCCTTCAAAACCTGCTAAAAAGCCCAGGAAGAGAAAGAGAACAAATCAGGAATCTATTGATAAAGAAATAAAACCTGCTAAAAGGTCAAAGAAGAAAAAAAGAGAGGATGAAAATTCAGTAGATAAAGAAACAGAACACGGTGATATGGGGAACAAAAAGATGAGACAAAGATCTAAACCATCTAAAGACAAAACTAAAAAGAAGAAAAAAGAGCGAAAAAGGGAAAAGAAGGATCTTGTCGATGATGTTGTATCAAGTGTTATCAGAGTAGCTAAGAGAGGCAAGATTAAGCCATCTTTACAGGTTAAGTTACCCACCTTGAAGAAAAAGAAGAGCAAGAAAACTGACACAGTAGCTGGTGTCACAGAGACCTGTGTAGAAGCAGGTGTGACAGATGTGTTAGAGAAGCTCAGTCACATCTAACACATCCAGTGCTTCACCGTGCATCAGTAGATATGAGCTGTTGGTGCTTCATTTGAACTTTCTTGCTGGAAGGATGTTAGTTTGAAAGTTTACATGTACTTTTTATTTCATAAAAGTTGTTCCAGAACATCAACACATGTTAAGACTTTCAAGTTATGCATTATTCATATCCTTTTAGTTTTTGATTTTCCCTTCAAGAAGGAAGTTCTGAAATGGGCTAAGCAGAGATTAGAGATGTGAGGAAACAGTTCAAGGAAGGCATTTTGAAGTTTTAGTTGAAATAAACATTTTTAAAATGATGTCAGTTGTCAACTTGTAATGGGCCTTTATGGGTAGTATGGCATCTTATTTCTTAAACAATGTATCCCAGCTTGCTTCAAGATTACTACAAGTGCAAGTAGACGTAGTGTTCTTTGGTACTTCAGTCTGGGCAAAAAACTTAACAGTTGTGTGCATGAAAGTGCATCTTATGACAATAGGAATCTTGACTTTCTCTTAAATATTCGTGCCTCAGTTAAAGTTTCTTCTTTAATAAATTCCAAAAACAAGCAAAGAAAAAGAATGATTTAATCTCATGGTTATTATTTATTTACAATCTAAAACATAAAATGTATACTGGTACTTAATGATATTAATACAACAATAGATGTAGCCTTGCTGTTTCAGCTTACTGGATGTGAAATATCACTAAAACTTGAACACAATTGTAAAAGAAATCTCTTTGGCAAGGAAAGTTGCTTTCCAATTCTTTGTTTCAAAACGGACGGGTCCTTCAATAAAGTAATAAATACCTTTCATTATATTCAAATAAATTAATTTCATTCTAACAGTATTAGTAAGCACAATAACATGAATAAGTGTAACCTGCAATAATTCTAATAATGTACAAATGGCTTCAAAGCATTCATGATCTGCCAGCATTTTTGAGAGAAATAAAGTTAATGTAGAGTACATGAGGGATTGAAGATCTATTCATAATATATACAAAAATTAGGTTACCTTACATTTTGATTAATTAGTTATGGTAAAATATATTTACAAAGAAAGCACATCATTTATTTGTCAGTTTCTCAATTCGTGTCATAAAAATGAAGCAAACGGGAACAAAGTCCAGAAAACATTGAGTATTGTTAGAACACAATTATGAAACTGCAGCACACTTTTTTTATTGCTGTAGTGTAATTAATAACATCTTAAATATGTGACATTGTTCTTATTGTAAAAAAATGCTAGCATACCATAGTTGAGGTACATGTGAGTATGACTTAGCTTTCTCTGAAATGTCACCCTAGTATTGCCTAGTTCACATACAACACTATGGAGGGTCGTACTCTTCACATCATCTTTTATATTTACTTGCAGATTCCCCTCTCATTGGTATAAATAAAGACGTGAAACATTTGGGTGCTAGCTCTCAGCCCCATCTGCTTAAAAAAGAATAAAAATAAATAAATGGAAAAAATTAACAAGCCTAACATCTTGCAATAAAATCTGTAGATATTTCAATATATCAAGTTTTCAGGAATTCATCCTCATCCAAATAGTATCAAGCTGCTGAGGCCCCAGGCAAATAAAAAGGGAACAAAGTTTTACAAACTTATTTTTCTGAAGATGTAATAAAAGTTTTTCAAACAGTTACTAGGGAACATGTTCCCCTCTTTCTTGTCAACCATTGCACTTAATTCATTGCTTGAACTGTCAAATACAATGTTTGTTTTTAAGGCAATTCATTAAAATCCTGCCAACTTGTTGGGTCTAAGACAATGACATTTTTGAACAGATTTTAAAAAATGCTCATAGTTAGTGAACTGACTACAACTAACAGTCAGTTTGACAAAAAACGAAAGTTGCCTGATGTTCCATATAAAATGACATTACTCCAAGATCTACCTGATCCTGTGTACAGCACTGTGGTCGTTTGACCTATGTTCTAGAATTAAACCTGACAAAGAAATAAAAACAATTCTTTCCAAAACAAACTGACATATATAAATAAACTGTATGTTAACTTTTGTTACTTAATAAACAATAGAAGCACCCAGTGCCTATTCCCATATAAACATGCTATTTTATAACAAAGATATTCTACCTCCTTACACATAGTAGAAGTAATTATGAGCTCATTTTGGCCTCTTGAACTTTGAGTCTCTAGCACAGGTGTGTGGAGATCAGACTGCACTGCAAGGATCTCCATTTTCATCCTCAAATGTCCGACTGAATTCATAACTTTCTCCGTTGTCTGGCTCTTCAAAACTCCCAGACTGGTTTAGATAAGAAAGGTCTACTGTCTGGCCTAGAGGGTCGATTTCCACTACCTTGCTAGAATTACCCCTGAAATAAAATACATTTTATATTATCATTTGAACTGCCTTTTGAATAATAATAATAATTATTATTTATTTTATTTTATTTATTTATTTGGGGGGGGGGGGGGGGTGACTACTTCCAAACAGTTCTTCTCTCATACCTCTGTTAAAGCAGATATGCCAGAAGCTTTGTTTTTCCAGGAGTTTTATAGTTAATCTAATGTTTTACAAAATATTCAATAAACACTTTATGACATGAAAAAATAAAAAATATAACCTAAAATGGTACTTTCGTAATAACCATACAGGACGTAAGAAAACAGAGAAAAAAATGATGAAAGACATGTAGCCACAATATTAAGAGCTGACATAATAGTTGATCTTTTATGTTACATATTTTCCCCAAGCAAAAAAAAAAATAAATAAAATAATAATAAATAAAATAAAATAAAAAAGAAAGAAAGAAAAGAAACTTGCTACATTATCCTTTCTCCACAACAAAAGCTAATTCACAGTTCATTATAAAAGCTTAGTTTCCAGCCATAAAACAACAATAATCAATTGCCTACGCTGGAAGTTGTGCAAACCTTACACCTTTAAAAATCTGCTTGTGAAAAAAATAAATACCAGTAGCTAAGTGAACAACTGAAATAAAACATATTTAAAACAACTTCCAAAGTGCGCCTGATCTTGTTCTGATAACTAGCTGCTCAGAACCTTTTGTAAATGAAGTATAATATTAAAGTGTGACTTCCCGACCATGCTTTACTTACTTACTTAAACCCTCGTTTCAGAAGGAAACTTGGGTATTATTTCCTCACTACTTTCCTCCTCAGGGCAGAGATCAATGGTGGGCTCATAGCCACTAAAGAGGCATAGTTGAATAGAGCACACATAAACCAGGATTTCTCTTACTTTTCTCTATTCAAATATTCCAAACCTTTTATTCCCCATTTTCAAAATGCATTTAATTAGTTTAAGCATATTTCTTATCTTCAATATGATATGATGTATTCTGATTGTCAGGGATAAATTTTATAAGAAAAGTTTTGTTGCCATGTGGGGACATCAAACCCCCAAAATACAATCACTGTGAATGTTGCATTTATTTCCTACCTATGTTTTCATTATTTTATTTCTAAATTACGTTGATTATGCAAAATTTTTTGTACACTTTTTTCACAGGGACAATTAATTAAAGTTTTCCATCATTCATACCAATCTTACCTCTTTCGAAAGAAAATATTCCTCAAAGAATCCCTCAGAGACCTCTTCTTCTTCAACCCCCCTCCACTGACAGGACGAGACGCCAGGTTCTCAACCACTTGCTTCTGACGATCTTTCCTCTTCTCTTTCAACTTCCTTCTTCTTCCCTTCTCCTCTTTCACCAGTGATGGGTCTCGAGGAACATAACTTTGCTCAGGGTCATCGTTCCAGACATTTTCCCGCACCCTGTCCGGGAACTCCTGCTGGCTGACCATGGCGGTCCTGTTGACCTGCATTGAATGTTTGCGTAGAGGTGAAGGACTGGCCTCACCATCTGTAATAATACCAGACTCTCCTATATTGTTAACATGGGCTTCTGTGAGACTCCTGGCAAGAACAATGTTCAGATGAGACTGAGTAGGACTGGCAGCGTCCTCTTGAAGAAAATCTCCGTGACTCTTGGACTTCTGAATAAGCCCCAGTTTCTGAGCTTTCCTGGTTGGGACATCCTTGGTGGCCATGGAGGGCATATATGCAGGCTCGTCTATGACACTGTCGTCTTCTCCATATATTCCATAGTCTTTAGGTAACCGAGGCAAGCTGCGGTGAAATGAGGCACCATCGGGGGCCATTTTCTCCATATCCAGACTCCCCTCAGACGTCTCCCCAACCAGGTCCCTCATGGAGATACTGAGATAGTCACTGGCAGGTCTGGTACTGGACTTGGACCTGTGGGGCTTCTTTCTTGCTGTCCCTGCCTCGCCATAGTCCTCCTCTCCTCCCTCAGCCAGTCTGCTACGATAACTCGTCTCTGAGATCTGCTCAGCCATAGATTTAGAGCGGAGATTCTTTCTCCTATTCCGTCCATTACTGCCATAGTCTTCCCCCTCTGCAGCGTGGAATCTTGTTCCATTACTTGTGCTCAAGGCTTCAAAACTTAACTCATTCCTGTGCCCCTTCTTGCTCTTTGACTTGCGTGGCTTGTCCCTGTTTTTATTCTTGATGTAATTTGGGCCGTCGTGTGAAAACGTAGAATCTCGGCTCGCAGTGCCTCCATTCATGTGATGGGAAGACTTGTGCTTGTCCCGCGGGACAGGAATAGAGTGGGGGTCCATCGCAAAGTCACTGCTGTCTGACTGGTGACCTACTTGTCTGCCAGGGTTCTTGAACACTGACAACTGATATCTGGAAATACAGAGAGACAACTTTGATGTTCCTTGGTACAGAAATATATCTGGATTTATTGATTACAAATATATTCAAGAGAAATTATTTTTATGGTTTACTTGAATATCAATCACTGAATCAAACACTTCAGTTTCAGGAACAAAACAATTTTATCAACACAAACTGTTCTAAGTACCACTCACATACATTCTTTATTGGTCAAAGAAGACAAAAATTGAGAGAAAAGTGATGAGCAAGCATGGTTTCATTAAGGTTATGTTTTGTTCAGTTCAGGTAATCTACTGCTTCACTGTCAGGTCTCCTTAGATAATCATAAAACCTATGACAGCACTAGGTATATATACTATACTGTTATCTATCAAAATACAGGAATGCAAGTTTATGTAAATACATTACATACTGGGGACCATACTAATAATTTCAATGCTGTTCTAATACTGTATTGTATTCTTATATTGCAGGGACCATGCAAACATCCTCAGAAACCTACATGTCTTATTGCTATGTATAACAATAATTATACTCTGACCTCACTTCTAACTGCTATCCCATAACCAGGACCTGTTACATGCACTTATATCACCACAGCAACTCACTATTATCATCTCATTATTTAAACAAGACTCGCCACCATCAACATAACCCAGTTGGATATATGTAATATTTCTTATATAAATAAAACAAAATGCTAAAATGGTCAAGCAGGAAGTATCACGGACACCACAATCACTAATGTAAAACACTATTGTTCTAACAGGTGAACAGCAAAATAAACAATTCCCAAGAAATCAATACCACAATGCCATTCAATACCCTTTTAATATTTTGTAGGCCTCTCTGAAGTAGTTTCTAAACCTATAAAATATCAATGTAATGGACAAAAACATGTGTTAGTGGGGTTTCAACAGAATAATCACTAAAAATCAACTAAATGTGATCTGAAACGAGTAACAGGTTAGTGAAGCTGGTGTTAGTGCAACAACACAGACCACAGGCAAATTACTATACACAGTTACTGGGTGTGGTTGATAGACACAACAACACATTTGAAATAAAAACAAAATATTCTATGTATTTATAACTGAAGTTAATAAGTTGTTAACTCAGACAAGGTATCATTCCATACACATAATTTTGATATCTACAAACTTCAATCTCTAATGTCCCTCATCTTAAAATGACAACACCTGAGATGTGGTGCTATGGGAAGAATTATGTATCTCATTCACATGTTTAAATAACTCTAAAATTTACTTTCAAGAGCATTTTAAATGTGGAATCTTCCAATCAATTCCGTTCAAATAAAACAAGCTTCAAAGAGATGCCAGCACACTGGCACACCCATCATCACAATATGATTGTGTTAGTTGAGATGCCAGCACACTGGTACACCCATCATCACACTCTGTTTGTGTTAGTTGAGATGCCAGCACATTGGCACACCCATCATCATACTGGTCAAAGCAGAGCCACTGACCTCCTGCCTCCGTGTGTGTCTACTACAGAGTGGACACCACTGTCCCTGGTCGTACTGGACAGAGGAAAACCATCATGGCTGCTAGAGCTGGACCTGCGCAGACTGGCTGCATTTCTCTGCTTCCTGTCACAGAGATGATAGGACATTTAGATATGAAAACCAAAATCAGCTAAAACAAATTGTAACAGCTGAAAGGCTCTTGATTACAAAAGATTATAGAAAACGTTATAAAATTGCCCACTCAACAAATATTGGATTTAAAAGCCAAGTATAAACACATCCTGGCGATTTCTTTTTTTTTTCATTTAACATCACTTTCAAATGCAGCTAATGTGTAACAAACTACACCATACCAGTGTTGTTTTTCCCTTCCACCCCCCACTTCAGTTCAAGCGTCCTTACCTGTGTTGTTTGGCCCCGCCCCCGTCCAGCCCCACCAGCTGCATGGAGTGCTCTATGGAGTTGTTCAACTGAGCCAAGAAATGCCCCAGACAATCCAAGGCGGACTCCAGGTAGTAATAGTCCGGGTGCTCAGGGTCAGTGTACTTACGCAGTTGCTGAAACAGATGATATAACACTTATACTGCTTATAATTATATAATATTCATAAGGTTGTAAATAACTTCTTAGAGATGGATACATATTACATGGATGTCAAGGCACAACAAACTAATTCCATCACTACATCCTAAGTTATACATGTAGAGTTGTCTTTAAGACCTACCTTCAGTAACAACACATATCTGGGAATCCTCTGAATGGGGGTAAGCAGGAAGGCAGTCAAGTCCAAACCCTCACAGCTTGGTTGTTTTTGACATGTCTGGATAGAAAATACAAGATGTTGCCTATTTGAAATTTCAAATATTCACTTTGAGAAGGGGGGGGGGGGAGTTTTATTTTATCTGGTGTTCTTGTTGTTTTTACCCTATATCCAGTTTGTGCCTATTAGCCCTTCTAGACACCAAAATCTAAGAATATACTGGACCAAAACAGACACAATGGCCAATAAATGAACACATTTACAACTTTCAAAGGTTCTGCTTTAATAAACTAGCAATTGACCAGTGTTAAAATTGCTGACTGTTTTCAGAAAGAGTTGACAGCTGATATGAGAGCAGATATAATTATGAATGATGTTAGTTTTACCTTGAGTACTTTCCTGAACCTGCTGGACTGTCTGTACCACTTATTAATGGTCCCAATAGCAGTGGGGAAATCATGGACATAAATCTTGTATGTGCCCAGGAGTTCAGACTGAAACCAAGACAATATTCTGTACATAGTGGAACTGTGACACTATATAACCAAGTCTTTTACTTATTGTTTCCCCATTTCAAAACATTACTTATATAGGGAATGATAAATACCTTACAATTATGAATTAGAAAGGCAAAACTAATGACAATATTAAAAAGTTCCAAAACAGATACTCTTATATAACCACAATATTACAAATATGGATACTCAGCACTGAAATCTTGTCTTTAAGATCAGCTGTATAGTAGAAAACCCCTCACATTAGTCTCTGTAAACCGTGAGAAGACATCTCCAATCCCACACTGCCACTTCCAGTTGAGTAGCTTCTCCTCCAGTTTGTGCAGCAAGTTACAATGAAGACTGTAGANTACAAAGAGACAACTCTGATGTTCCTTGGTACAGAAATATATCTGGATTTATTGATTACAAATATATTCAAGAGAAATTCTTTTTATGGTTTACTTGAATATCAGTCACTGAATCAAACACTTCACGGTTTCAGGAACAAAACAATTTTATCAACACAAACTGTTTTAAGTACCACTCACATACATTTCTTTGTAAGTCAAAGAAAACAAGAATTGAGAGAAAAGTGATGAGCAAGCATGGTTTCATTAAGGTTATGTTTTGTTCAGTTAAGGTAATCTTTTGCTTCACTGTCAGGTCTCCTTAGATAATCATTAAACCTATTACAACACTAGGTATACTGTTATCTATCAAAATACATGAATTCAAGTGTCTGTAAATACATTACATGCTGGGGACCATCCTAATAATTTCAATGCTGTTCTAATACTGTATTGCAGGGACAATGCAAACATCCTTAGAAACCTACACATTGCTCATGTCTTATTGCTATGTATAACAATAATTGTACTCTGACCTCACTTCTTACTGCTATCCCATCCCCAGGACCTGTAACATGCACTCATATCACCACAGCAACTCACAATGTCATCTCATTATTTAAACAAGACTCGCCACCATCAACATAACCCAGTTGGATATATGTAATATTTCTTATATAAATAAAACAAAATGCTAAAATGGTCAAGCAGGAAGTATCACAGACACCACAATCACTAATGTAAAACACTATTGTTCTAACAGGTGAACAGCAAAATAAACAATTCCCAAGCAATCAATACCACAATGCCATTCAATACCCTTTTAATATTTTGTAGGCCTCTCTGAAGTAGTTTCTAAACCTATAAAATATCAATGTAATTGACAAAAACATGTGTTAGTGGGTTTTCAACGAAATATTCACTAAAAATCAACTAAATGTGATCTGAAACGAGTAACAGGTTAGTGAAGCTGGTGTTAGTGCAACAACACAGACCACAGGCAAATTACTATACACAGTTACTGGGTGTGGTTGATAGACACAACAACACATTTGAAATAAATATATTCTATGTATTTATATGTATTTATAACTGAAGTTAATAAGTTGTTAACTCAGACAAGGTATCATTCCATACACATAATTTTGATATCTACAAATTTCAATCTCTAATGTCCCTCATCTTAAAATGGCAACAACACCCAAGTTGTGGTGCTATATGAAGAATTATGTATCTCATTCACGTGTTTAAATAACTCTAAAATTTACTTTCAAGAGGATTTTAAATGTGGAATCTTCCAATCAATTTTGTTCAAATAAAACAAGCTTCAAACCAATTGTGTTAGTTGAGATACCAGCACATTGGCACATTCATCATCACACTCTGATTGTGTTAGTTGAGATGCCAGCACACTGGCACACCCATCATCACACTCTGATTGTGTTAGTTGAGATGCCAGCACACTGGCACACCCATCACACTGGTCACAGTTCAACCACTGACCTCCTGCCTCCGTGTGTGTCTACTACAGAGTGGACACCGCTGTCCCTGGTTGTACCGGACAGAGGAAAACCATCATGGCTGCTAGAGCTGGACCTGCGCAGACTGGCTGCATTTCTCTGCTTCCTGTCACAGAGATAATAGGACATTTAGAAATGAAAACCAAAATCAGCTAAAACAAATTGTAACAGCTGAAAGGCATTTAATTACAAAAGATTATAGAAAATGTTATAAAATTGCCCACTCAACAAATATTGGATTAAATGCCAAGTATAAGTACATCCTGGCGTTTTTTTTTTTTTTGTTTGTTTTTTTTTTCATTTAACATCACTTTCAAATGCAGCTAATGTGTAACAAACTACACCATACCAGTGTTGTTTACCCCCCCCCCCCCCCACTTCAGTTCAAGCGCCCTACCTGTGTTGTTTGGCCCCACCCCCGTCCAGCCCCACCAGCTGCATGGAGTGCTCTATGGAGTTGTTCAGCTGAGCCAAGAAGTGCCCCAGACAATCCAAGGCGGACTCCAGGTAGTAATAGTCTGGGTGCTCAGGGTCTGTGTACTTACGCAGTTGCTGAAACAGATGATGTAATACTTATACTGCTTATAATTATATAATATTCATAAGGTTGTAAATAACAACTTCTTATGGATGTCAAGGCACAACAAACTAATTTCATCACTACATCCTAAGTTATACATGTAGAGTTGTCTTTAAGACCTACCTTCAGTAACAACACATATCTGGGAATCCTCTGAATGGGGGTCAGCAGGAAGGCAGTCAAGTCCAAACCCTCACAGCTTGGTTGTTTTTGACACGTCTGGATGGAGAAGACAAGATGTTGACCAATTGAAATTCCAAATAACCACTTTTTTTCTTTTTTTTTTTTTTTGGGGGGGGGGAGTTTTATTTTATCGGGTGTTCTTGATGTTTTTACCCTATACCCAGTTTGTGCCTATTAGCCCTTCTAGACAGTCTAAGAATATACTGGACCAAATCAGACACAATGGCCAATAAATGAACATATTTACAACTTTTACAGGCTTTGCTTTAATAAACCAACAATTGACCAGTGTTAAAATTGCGGACTGTTTTCAGAAAGAGTTGACAGCTGATATGAGAGCAGATATAATTATGAATGATGTTAGTTTTACCTTGAGTACTTTCCTGAACCTGCTGGACTGTCTGTACCACTTATTGATGGTCCCTATAGCAGTGGGGAAATCATGGACATAAATCTTGTATGTGCCCAGGAGTTCAGACTGAAACCAAGACAATATCCTGTACATAGCGGAACTGTGGCAATATAACCAAGTCTTTTACTTATTGTTTCCTCATTTCAAAACATTACTTATATAGGGAATGATAAATACCTTACAATTATAAATTATAAAGGCTACGCTAATGACAATATTAAAATATTCCAAAACAGACACTCTTATATAACCACAATATTACAATTATGGACACTCAGCACTGAAACCTTGTCTTTAAGATCAGCTGTATAGTAGAAAACCCCTCACATTAGTCTCTGTAAACCGTGAGAAGACATCTCCAATCCCACACTGCCACTTCCAGTTGAGTAGCTTCTCCTCCAGTTTGTGCAGCAAGTTACAGTGAAGACTGTACAGTCTGGACACACTGGACGGGAACATAAGGCTATATGGAGAGAGAAATATCACATTTATATAGATACTTTTAATACACTGTACAGTCTGGACACACTGGACAAGAACATCAAGCTATAGGGAGACAAATGTCACATTTATATAGATACTTCAAATACAGAGATCTATATCTTTCATCAGCCCATACACACTAGATGGAAATGTCAGGCTACAGAAAGAAAGATATGAACTCTTTATAATATTTCTAATATCGAAATCCATACATTTCATTAGTCTGTACACACTAGATAGGAACATCAGACTACAGGAAGGGAGATATAAACTCTGTATACATATTTCACCATCCCTATGTCTTTGGCTCCAGTACAGACAGACTGTTGGAAATTTCTAGTACAGAAATCTATATATTTCACCAACCTTATGTCCTTGGCCCCAGTACAGCCGGACTGTTTGATTGGCTGGCAGTAGGTGTCCACGATGGTCCAGAGGCTGCTACAGTACTTCCTCTCCGTCTCCAACAGCTCCCTGGCAACGCGGGAACGCTGAGCTGAGAGAGAAAACATGGATTATAAAAACTGTCTTATGTATAGTCTCACACCTTCATCAAAACTCTGGGTACTACAGATATCATTATTTAGTTCTAGATAATAATAATATTAATTTATTCAGCTTATATATGCAGACATAAGCATAGGTTTAAAAAAACCTCAGAACATTTATCATGGGGCCCAACACCTAACCTTGACAAATCTTAGGAACCATCATAAAAGAATTAAAAATTCCACTTTTCCAAGGGAAAAAAAATCATGTATGTATATTTAAAATATACATCAGAAATTGGATTCTGTCCAAATTCTTAAGAGTGATATCAATGTAAAATAATAATAATAAAGTTTGATTGGAAAATAAAATGATAAAAAATGTGTTTAAAAATTATTAGAATTAAATGAGAAGCTTAAAGGTCAAAACTTTTAAAAAAACTGCCTTGAAAGTTAAAAGGTGACCTAAGTGATAATTCTACCAGTTCAATACGCACTTTCTCTAATCGATAATTCATGAGGTGGAAGTTTCTTTGGTGAAAATGAACTTTTGTGTCTGTTCATTGGTGATGAAAAACCCTGAAATTTTTAATAAAATGGTAATAATAATAATAAGATTTAACATGTGTTAATGTGATTTAACATGTGATAAATATTTGTCTTGCATATACTACTATTTTTAAAAGACATACTTTAACAGTAAGTAAATGAAATCATTTAAAATTGATATCAAACAGTCTTACAGAACCTTATTATTTGTCAAATAACACATATTGGAAAGAAAAAAGACCAGGTAATTGGTGTCTTCATAGCTATACAACACAATACACAAGGAACATTAATGCACAATACCTGTGCAGAAGAAACATTTTCTTTCTCATTATCGCTGCCATCACTAGAGTTGGACGGGTCAACATCCAGGCACTTCTGACCCAGTGAACGGCTGAGATTCAAACTCTTATTGGCTGCCTCGATCAGAGATGAATCTGAGTCATAATTCTCTTCAAAATTGTCTTCAGGACCTGCAAATTATATATACAAAAAATATTTTCAAAGTGACACAGGTACCCATCAAATTTGAGTCTTACATATCCAAAAACATGAATAAAACACTGTTCACAATAATATGATAGCGTAGTAGTCTAAGCACAGATAGTAAATGAAAAGAAATGATATCTAAAAAGTGTGAAAAGACATAAAATCTACAAAAAAAAAAAAAAAAAAAAAAAAACGTTAAATTATTTCCCAAATGATGTTTGAATTTAAATCAACTTACGGTTAGCATTCTGAAGGCCTGCTATAAAGGGGCGGACCATGGGCGAGATCATAGGGGGCGTTGCGTCTCCATGAGAAGACACGTCTGGACGGTACGTTGTGGCGACCCCACTGTCATGGTCGCTGGTCACATGATTGGCATCGCTAGAATGGAGTCCATTACCAAACTTCTGCCTAGAAGTGGAAATAAGAGAGGAACAGTGAGTACAAAGATCCTGGGCTGTGGTATAGTATGGAATTCTGTGGTTTAGCAGCTGCAAAGAAAATGCAAAATATGTGCTTACAATGAAGGGGCATCTTTCCAACTCAGAGAACAAGAACTATAACTATACTTGAGTTGGATAGATATGGCTTCAGATCTCTCCAGCTTAGACAACAATAACTATTACCATACCTGAGTTGGTTAGATATGGCTCCAGATCTCTCAAGCTTAGAGAACAATAACTATAACTTTACCTGAGTTGGTTAGAAATGGCTCCAGATCTCTCTAACTCCTGCAGCAGCACCTCTCTCTCCTGCTGGAGTCTGTCTACCTGATGTCTCAGGTGAGTCTGGTTCTCATTAGCTGTGATCACCTGGCTGGACACTGACTGGAACTGGTCCTAGAGGAAGAAAGGCACACATTCAACTTTATCTATAACTGGTCCTAGAGAGAGGGAGACATAAAACAATCTTTATCTATAACTGGTCCTAAAGAGAGGGAGACAGAAAACAAACTTTATACAAATGTTGTTTGAAAGTTTATGAATACTTTGTGATGTATGTGCATGTGCACACACACACAGACACACACACACACAGACACACACAGCAAACACAATTACAAATATAGAGAAACTGACCGTTTAGCTAATTTTGCAAGCTCATCTTATCAACATGACAGTGTATCAACTCCATAATTAAGACCACATAATCTAACTCCTTCATGAAGACTAGATAAGTCTACCTCATTATCTAATTCCTCATACCTCTGTGTTGACTGCAAGTCTTCCAAGCAGTTCATATGTCAAATTATACAAACTAAAATATATCTGGTACAGCAAAGTCTGAAGAACTTGGTAGAAGACTAGAAGAGCCCCTGGAACAGGCAACATGGCCAGTGTTCTACTGAAGCTCTGTGCTCTACAGAAATCAACATGACCAGTGTTCTGTGTTCTACAGAGAGGCAGAATACAGATGTTGTGGAAAGCTCTGTATTTGCCTTCCATAGTAAAACAACAGTGAACAGAGCCAAATTAGCTTAGTTATAAGAGATATGATGGCAGGTTCATCCCCGTGTCCTGATCAGCTCAGAGTGGCAGGAGATATAAAAGACAGTGCTTTTTTCATATGCTGCTGTTCAATTTCTTGCAGCTTTTTGTGTAGTTTCTGAGTAAGAAAAATATCTAAATTCTTCTTGCAGATCTCAACATTTTCTATTAGTTCAGACACTAACAAAAGGAAAAATATCATCAAGATGAAAGCCAGGTGCAGGTGGTGGGGTTTCTGAAGCAAAGAGAGAGCACTTCACAGTCATATATGTGACATATTCTAGTTACAAATACGTGACTTCTGTCACATATCAAACTACAAAGTCTCACTACAGAACCAGGTGCTGGCACAGTGCTTGCTATCAGCCATTTAATGCTTCACTTATTTGTCATTATCCAATCCATAAAAGGATAGCGGTGACGAATATCAAATTTTGACTCCAGCATTGCTGACTTTGTGCTTGTGAAATCATTTATTACATCTTTTCAACTTTCCAAAAGCACTAAAATGAGTCCCAAAGGCATGAAAAAAATTATCTTTCTTATTATTCTTAATATGCACTCCAAATAAGCAATATATGACTAAAAAAACCTATAACAGCTAACAACAAAAACAAAAGATATCACTGATGCAATGAGAGCATGAAAAATTGATATGTTGATCATTCAATAATCTTCCTATGCAACGTAAAAGCAATGACGCCAGTAGTGTATTAAAACATTTGGTAAATTTCCAGGTAAGACTCCAGCAAGAAGTAAATGTCTGTTCTGTTTTTTTTCTCTAATACGCAGACACACCACCTGCCTGACATGTTTATAGAAGATGTGAGTCAAAAGTTATCTGTGGTGTTCAATACAGCTTCTTGCATTATCAAGCAGAAAGTTCTACACAGGGGGGGATCCAGAGCTATTTTCTGACTGACTTCCAAATTATCTTTGTTGAGTATTCTCTATTTTTGGCTGTCTTCTGACAGAAAAAATTAGATACCCATCAATGTAAACTTGAAAGTCTGACCATCTTCCAGAAGATCCAGAAAACAGCCTCAAATTGCCCCTGCTACAGACACTGTTGCAAAGGTCAACCAAAGAAATTTCTATCAACTACCATCACAGGCCCAGCCAGGGATTCTTAACGCTCTACACTGCTTCTTCCAGGCTTCAGTACAGTTAGGATAACATCACGGAGATAGTTCATAAATGAAACTTTTTCTGCAACATAAGCCAATCTCTAACATCTCTCTCTCTTTTCATAAACATACCAAAGGATGGAAGGTTGCAGCATCATCTTCTCTCTACTGGATCAGACTACTCTTGCTTGGGCCAGAAATCTGTATAACAATTATGGGTCCATGTGGTGTGTTCACTTTAAGAAAGTATGTTACACAAATATTGCAATAAATTCTGAATTCTAAGTCATTAACATTTCCAGTAGCAGATGTCAGAAGAGATCACACTGACTAGTCAAATCAACTCAATCATAGACAGCTATGTATTTACAAAACTTAGAAAATAAAAGATGAGAGCAGACATGAATTCACAAAAGTTATTCAAATTGTGGGATTAAGTAGAAAATTACATGATGTTCAGAAAAAAGGCAAATTGGTTGATCATATACAGTATTAAAAAATTTCAATGCAGGTACCATTTTACTGTGCCGGAATTGAAGAAATCCTATTATCCCCAAACGACTAAAATCGCCAAAAAACCCACAATAAAAAATAACAAATCCGTGTACATACATCTACACCCCTGGCTGTGGCAAAGTCTTAGTTCACGGATAATAAGCTGTATCAACTGAGGCTTGAACTTAGTTATCGCCTCTTCTCAGTGTAGAGAATGCTCCTCATAGAGTCATCCAAGTGAAATCAATGGTGTTATTCAGCACCTTCCTATTGTATCAGTCACACTGAGCCAAGTCTGTGCCTGGTTTTATTCTTTACTTATTGTACACTAAGCATGTTTCCAACATGGCTATGAGAATAAAACCTGCACCAGTTCACTGGGATATGATCTGTACTTCAGGTATCTATACCTGAGAGGTGAAGTGTATATACCTGAGAGATGAGGTGTATATACCTAACATGTGAGGAGTATATACCCGGGAGGTGAGGGGGGAATACAATGCACATTTCAAGGTACAAGAGTACTCAGGTGTGCTGTCCTAGACATAATGATCTTTTGTAAGTGGAAAATAAAAAAGATATCGATTTGGATGAAAAATACCCATCTATGCAAATATTCATAATTGATTACTCTTATGATACACAATTTCAACAAGAAGAGCTTATTATGTTTTTTTACCCTTAAACTGCACAAATGATGTCTAATAAAAAAGTTCTGAGCAAACACAGTGGCCCACCTCCCCTGGCTCACAGCTCAGTGCACCCCCCCTCCCCCTGGATACATTACCTTCAGTGAGTTCACCATATCCTTAATGTCCTGCAGCTGTTTCTCCTGCTCCACCTTGGACGCCTCGTAGCGCTCTTGTACAGCGGTGTCTCCATTCTGTATCTTGGAGAGTTCCTCCATGGCGTGGACAAATCCATCCTTTAGTTCCAACATCATGGACTGGAGCTGGAAATATGGAAGAATACACATCTCAGTGATGCTTAGACTGGGTTCCTATACCTAGATTGAACTAACAGGATCAATCCATCTCTGAGGATTCCCTAGCAGCTTCAGTAGGCATGACAGACATCTAAGCTGCTTAAGTTGAAAGCAATTTGGCAAGAATCCCCTTGGAGATAGACCGATCCACAGTTAAAATGATAGGGTCTGGGCACGGTCCCTTTAAGATGTGATATACTTATTTTGAAGAGGAATTAATATGGTTAAAATGGCTGGTGTTGTCTAATCATTCTCCAAGAAAAGTGACCCAGACATTTATACTGAATGAAAATACATAATTCAATTTTTCCGCCACATCTGTCAAGTTGTTCCTAAAACTGTTTAAGAAGAAGCAGTTTATAACCTACCGTCTTTATGGTGACTATTTCCAGTTGAAAAACTATCTCTTGTAACTTTCTCTCCACCATTGTTAATTTATAACCAATATGTAAATCTTCAAAACATTAATATCTGTCAAACTACATATTTCTGTAAACTCCTGATTAAAACAAATTTCTGCTTTAAACAAGTCTGTGTTTCACATCCCTGCTGTCTAGGTGTGGCAGATGTGAGGTCTGATTCATAATCTGGGGAAAGTGGGATGCTGTTTCAAGCACCTTGATCTTTTGGGTTCCTAAAAAATTTATGAACTCTGGATTTTTTGTTTTTAATGCAGCTCATCAAAGTTCTGGAGGATTTTTACAGCAAATTCTCAAATAAGTGTCAACCACAAAAGCACCAAATTAGTGACTGACTTTCTTAACCTTTTTCATCAGTCTGGGCTCGCTGTGCTTTTGTTCAATCTTTTTCATTAAGACAGGAAATTGTGAAAAGCCCTGTACTCTATTACCTGGAAAATGTTCACCTAGACAGAGATGTATGTATCACCAGTAGAAAATGCTATCTTTATCCTCATGAAGTCTGACCTCCTAGGAATTCTCTCCAGGAATATTTACCTCTCTATACCTGTTCGGGGCCAATACTGGCCTCCAAGAAATTCTCTCTAGGAATATTTACCTCTCTATACCTGTTCAGAGCCAATACTGGCCTCCTAGGAATTCTTTCTAGGAATATATATACCTTGTAATACCTGTTCAGTTCCAATACAGGTATATGAGTAATCTTCTCCAGGAAGATATACCCTTTTACACCTGTTAGGGCCCCACAGACCAGCTTTACACATGTGGGGCTTACTGACAGTTCTAAGGTGTAAATAGCTTTTTTTAAATATTTTATTTTGTATTCACTACAGTGGTCAACAGTGCTGGCAATAATTTAACATGGTACGTATACTGTGTGTCCTCAGAGCCATATCTAAAAATACCATTAAATACCCCACCCCCACCTTTCCAACTTCCTTAGGCAATGCAATATCAGTTATTGTGACATATAATTAAATAAACTAATTCAGATTTAAAAAAAAAACATCATACACCAGAAAAAAGAAAATTGAAAGGGTTAATTTTAAAATTAACCCTTATTATTGAACATATTTTTTAACAAATATTTTCACAAATTTGAAGACAATTTGACATAAATCATTTCTCCCCCCCCCTCCTCCTTCCCCCTCAAATCCTTTTACTTGTCCTTCTTTCAGGACAGTCATTATAAATTAATATAACAGTTATCCTCCCCTTAAATTCTAAAAGACACTGAGAACTAGAGTCCAATATTCTGCACAATATTTGAACTTTCACTCCCTGTTAAAAAGGCCTCCCATTTGATAGCATATGTTGTATACAAAGAGTAGTCAATCAATACTCTGCTGAAATGACTCAAATCAAGTGAATAACGACCAACAAATCTCACTGCATGTAGCTGTTGAAATCCGACATGCCCCACTAAAAAAACAGCTTCCTGAAAGACTTTCAAACCAATGTAAAATTAGCCTGCTGTTCAAATACAAATTGGATTACTTTCTGGTGTGTGGATGTTGTTTGAACAAACTTCACTCATCTCCTGAGACAACAAACAATATTTTGTATGGCCTTTTTATCTGAAAGTCTGAGACAAAGACAGGACAAAGACTCCGCCCTAATTTGTTGTCTCATTCTTTCAAGTCATTTTATAAGCCAGTGTCTAGTTTGCAAACCCCGCACCCTTTACTTTCATGATCTTTGAAAAGTATCCGGCTTTAAAGCTGCCCTAATTTTTCACTTGATTTGCCACATGTATGCTTTATTTCACTGGGATTACAATATCAACTGCAAGGCTTTGTTAGTGTCTAAATTACACAGTTTGAGCAAATATGTTCACCTTTGACTTCTCAGTTTCTGCTTTTTGAAATGAATGTGGACTTTGGCAAAGATCCAAATTAGAGGGCAGTTAGAAGATATTTTATCAGTCTTTTTCTCATTACAGTAAAAAGTGAACATTACCAACATGCAACATTAGGGAAGTCATCACATTTTCAGGCCTCTTTCTCCAGGCAGATAAAAATAACAGCTTTTTTGCATGTAAAATAAATGGGGTGTTAATATGGGTAATGCTAATCAATTGCTAAAATGTTAAATTATTTTCTGTAAATAGTTTGTGGTATTTCTGTCTGAAGTTTTTACCTCTGTCAGCTGTTCCGCCAGATCTTCTCCCTCAGTCTCAGGCTGTGGCATACTGGAACAGAGCTCATCCAATTCCAGCTCATCTGAAATGATCAAGACAAGATAAATTTTTGTACTAACAATTTCTGCTCAACTGAAATGATCAAGAGAAGATAAATTTTTGTACTAACAATTTCTGCTCAACTGAAATGATCAAGACAAGATAAATTTTTGTACTAACAATTTCTGCTCAACTGAAATGATCAAGAGAAGATAAATTTTTGTACAAACAATTCCAACTCATCTGAAATGATCAAGACAAGATAAATTTTTGTGCAAACAATTCCAACTCATTCGAAACGATCAAGACTGGTTAAATTTTTGTACTAACAATTCAGGCTCACCTAAAGTGATCAAGACACCAGTAAAGATACATCTCTGTACAAGCAGCTACCCACTGAGGGGTTGACAAGTGTAAATATATCTCACTGTGAGACTGGTGATATGTCAACTACTGCTCTTCTTACAATAGGGTTGTTTGAAAAACTTAAGACTAAGAGTGCATTCCCATAGATTTAGATCGATCCATCTAGATCGACCTAAATCCCTAGGGGTTCACGCTAAACTGATGTCAGCCGAGCGTGCACGGTAGTTAATTACCCCCTTATAGCTTTTAGTAGGCAGGACAGATGCTTAATTAGCCAGCTAAGCTGACAGTAATCTAGTGAGACTCCCCACAGGGATAGATCGATCTAAAATCTGTGGAAATGGGGTGTAAGTAAAGTACTATGCTTTAGGTTGGGGGAAGGGAGCTAAAAGGCCATAGCTCTGAAAATTTCTGCCTGAAAATTTCAGCAATACTGTACGTACAATTATTACCAATTGCTTGCTTTCAGTCTATCTCTTTCAAAGTGTTTCTGTCTTTTACAGCTGCAGTTAAACTAATAACTATTCAGCCACACAACAAAATGGATGTTATATACTCTGATAAAAATTAATTGAAATTTGTTCATGCAATTACAAACTATAACTAAAATTCATCTCAGGATTAGTGAAAATTTTTAATTCATACAGTCATAACAGCAAAAGCAGAATTTAAATTTTTTTCTTAACTGAATTTAGTCAAGTAAAAGACCTTGTGGAGAGGTCAAAGCTAATACCAGCAGCAAGGCAATATTTTTCAACTTAAAATGGAGGTGATGATTGGTGCGTATTCTGTGGAGAAGTGAAGTGAAGTAACAGCTGTAGCATTGCATTGGGAAAGCTGCATGAATAATATACTAAGAAATCTGTGTAGTACATACAATGTCTTATACATACATACATACATACATATATATATATAAGGACACAGTTATTCACTGTATGTACATAGAACTACTATACAGTTAATTTAGCTGCTGTCTTGCACAACATTCCTCAATCCATTTAATTTATTCAACCATTTGAATGGTTCAATAATTTGAAATGTTAACTATATAATTTCGGTAAGTCAAGCAAAAAACAGTTATCTAACATTATTCTAGCTGTGTCCAATGTTGAAGCTAGCAGTTAGGGCAGGAAAGAAACTGTTCACTGATGCCTACAAACATGCCCTGTATGGTAGCAGTGACCCAGTGGTAGTAATGTGGACTCAAGTAACCAATCTGTTTATTCAATACTGATTCCATCTAAGAACTACAGGACAATGGCTGTCACCTTTCCCACATGACCTAAACAACTGGTCACAGTGTGATACTGGGTTGTATGGGGCTGGGAGATGAATAACGAGGTGTGTGTGTGTGTGTGTGTGTGTGTGTGAGAGAGAGAGAGAGAGAGAGAGAGATTGGGGTCAATAAAAAGACATGATGTAGTAAGAACCTGCAGGCCAACCCCATTTCTATCCAATTTTGATTAATTGTGAAATTTTGTATTTTTTCAAAGTTCAAAGTGAAGTTTTCCTGGAACATGGCGAACTGTTCTTGGGAGATGAAAATTCAGAGGCCGATGTATCTTTTACTTCACCTGGCACCATAAACCACAAAAATGTGTATACATTTTACTATAATAAAACCTAAAATTCTACCCTTATGTGATCTGTCAATAATTAGGTCAGAGTTAAAGAAACAAGGGCACTAATAGAATAACATTAAACCCTTGTTACCTTCATAGGGACAAATATCCACCCTTTACAATATGTCCTTTCTGAAATATTTACAATAGTGAACTGCATTGTGGTGTGTACTGTGTAGGATTTAAATGACTGTGTACATAAATTTAAATAGCATATGATTTAAGTGGTTATTGATGGAGAGCTATATATGACATCAAGACGGCTGTAATCTTGCGGCCACCCTTACGTCAAATGACCAGAAATATCGCAACTGTAACAATTTACATGAACATAACAATGCATGCCGTTACACATACATAATCTGGTATAATATTCTGTACTTCACTGACTTATGCCAAATATAGTCACTGACAGTAGTGTTCTAAAGACTGGCTGTTGTGTCTAAACACCTTAAATGATTTCTATTTTTATACTACTATAAATATCTATGTACAGAGTATGTCATCTTTAATTTTTGGGTCACTCTTAATTTTTTTTTCAAAATTGCTTAATGATAAATTTTAATGAAATCAGTGGTAAGTTAGGCTCTATTCCCATAGATTTTAGATTGATCTATCCCCGCGGGGAGTCTCACTAGATTACTTTCAGATAATCCGACTTAAATGTCCGTCCTGCCTACTACAAGCTGTAAGGAGGTAATTAACTTTCGTGTCCGCCCGGCTGACAGCTATTTAGCGTGAACCCCCAGGGAGTTAGGTCGATCTAAAGTAGGTCGATCTAATCTATGGAAATGGGGTGTTAGACAAAAAATTTGAACACTTTCTTAACTTATAATATTGATCATCTTTAGTCAAAGTTACATTTTTATATCTTTCACATATTGAAATAATACTTTTGTTTTTACTTTTTTTATCATTTTGCGGAAAGTGTTTGATGTGGAAAAAAATTAGCCAAATATTGTCTGAAAAAATCTGATATCTAATCTTATTATTTTGCGTAAAGAATTTTTTACTTAGAAAGCTGCAATTACTAAAACAACTGAACTTGACCCTAGGTAACAAAATGACCACACAAAGGGTATGACTAAATAACCAGACTGGACTTTATCTCTACCTGAACTTCACAAACCTAAGGTCTCAGACCATTGACACTTTCACAAACAATCTGAACTTGGATTGATCAAGCATTGATCTCCGATAAAAAATCAATAGCTGAATCTCTTCCTGTTTAGTGTTCTTGTCCTTTTACAATCAATTGTAAGAAAAGGTGCATACCCATGTAGTGTTTGTATTATTGAGTGATTTTTGAAAAGAAACATTTACTATGATCACTTGAAAGGTTTTTTTTCAATAATATGACTGTGCTTTGTCTGTGGCTCATGTCTAGTTTTGAGAGAGAGAGAG